AGCTCAAGCTACTGCTCCTGCAAGCAGTAACAACAGCAGGATGGAGGGAAGACAACGCTGTGGAAGTTACTGGATTTCAGAGATTCTAAAGTTGAAAAATGATGTGAGAAGAAAGCGCCGCTGAGTCTTTGGAGTTGAATGAAATCATGTTAGAATGATTAGAACCTGCACTGCAGTTGCAGTTTCTTCTGCACTACATGAGAGCTTAGACCAACATCATGACTGGACTTGAGCTCTCTGCATCGGATTCTTCTTAATCGATTGTGTATTTTTAAAACCATGAATCATGCATCAAACAGTGTTAAAGGCATACTATTCTGCACGTTGCAATACTTAATAAAGCTTCTTTCAGGTGTGGTACATTCAGTAGTGTTCCTTTATTCAAATCAAATCATATTTACATCGCTCAGAGTGTACAAACACAAATAATCATACGATATTTACACGATTCTGTCTGTACAAAGATGTCAAAAGAATTCTACAAATGTAACTAAAAAAATGTAAAAATAAAAAAAAGGCTACACATTTTGCTGTGTTGAGGAATAACGTAAATTATCATTTCTTCTGTCACTGTAAGTTCTACATAATAAATACGACGTGACTACAACAACAACAACAACAACAGCAGCAACAACACCAAATGTGATAGACAAAGGTAACTTCAGGTCCTCAAACGTCGATGAATTTTGATGGATTTCCCCTGGCAAGGTAAAACAGATTTATTTCAACATCTGCATTAAAAGCAACTTGCTCTGTAAATGAATCAGAAGCACATTCATTCACATACACAGACTTTAAGAAGCTACTCACCAAAGATCTTAACTTCGATAGTTGACCAATCCATACCACAGTTTGAATTTATTTCAACTGTCACATTTTCCTCTTTCTTGGCTTGTGAGATGGTCAGCGACACGTAAGTCACTTCATCCCAAGAACAGCTGTACTCAGTCAAGTTGTCAGTCAAACTGCTACATATGCTGGTGCCATTTGTGTTCTTCCATTCATACATTTCGCCTTTACAGTTCCCGTTTTTCAGTTTCCACTCAATGGTGCAATTCAGTGTCACTTCACTTCCAGCGCTAACTTTCACTGTGTTGTTGCAATTCAGTGACACTCCTGAATCAGAAAAACAGTAACAATTGATATGATGTTTATGATGCTACTCTTAATGCATTCAGTGTATCTGTTTCTGGCACAAGCAGTACAGAAATACCTTGGTCTGATGAGACACAGCTTTGTAGAACATAGAGCAGACTCAGACTTATCCACAGGCTGGACATCTTGGAGGATCCAGGGGCTTTAGAAACTGGAAGGAAAAAGAAACGATATTAAGAACTGATTGCCCCTGTATTGTTCTGCCTCATATCATCTATGGATACTTGTAACTTTAAAGAACCCGCAGGAGCCAGGATTCTCACTTTTTCTCGAGAGGAGCTACTGGCTCTAAAGCCGATGGCACAGGCTGGAATACGACATCACATCCCGGCTGAGCTGAGAAGGCGTTACCGGGACAGCAAGGCTGGCACTAGGCTACAGGCTAGGCTAACAGACCGGAGGCATTTCAAACCATCAATCACGACTGTAATTATGGGAAATAGTTAACGCCTTGCAGAAAAAGACGGACGAGCTGTCGGTGCTGATCAACCAGTGTATATAAACTTTTGTTCACAGCTGTATATTTTACTGTATTATTGATATTCTTGAGGCAAACTAATGCATTTTTATACATTTTTGCTTTGTATATATCAAAAGCCATTCACGGTCACATGTATTTACAGAGAAAACCATTACAGCTTGTTTAGTCTTCTCTGCTGCTCTGCTCAAGAATGAATGGTTAACTAATTAATATCTAACTACAAGTCACTGTCTCTGATACGATCATGGTGGAAAGTACCTTTGAAGCAACTTTGTGTTTTTTATTACCTTGAGAAGTGGACTTTCATGTCAGGGGTAATACTTTTTTTTTTACTTGTACTTTTTACTTACTTTTACTTATAACTTATTTTACATACAAAACACTGTTACAATTCTCACAGGAGTTTCGCTACCAGTGGTGCTTATATTCCAGTAGGGTTTTCTGCAGTTGAAAGGAATACAGTGTGTAGAAAGATAAAGAAATGGTGATCAAATTCTGATCAGACAAAATCAATATATTTGCATGTAGAAGTGACTCTAATCTGAAGCTTAGTTATTGTCAAAATAACTGAGAGCTACCAAAGTGCACACATCTCCAACCAACAGTTAATTTAAAGTATTTAAAGTTTAGCAAATTTGAAGCTGCAAGAAAAGCCATTAGACAGACAGAGAAGATGGTTGATGGTTGGGTTTCTGGCACTTCAACTAATGCAAAGAAGACCAAACCAGACCTAAATAGTGACAATGTGGTTGTATTAAAAGTATTTTAGCAACTTCCACTTTTTTGTCATGTTATTTAACATTTGACATCATGTCTGGAAGCACTGAATTACTCGACTCCAGTTCAACCAGCGGCAACAACGTTTACTTACTGGACACATCAATACCAATAAATGATTCATTTGATAAACTTAATAAAGCTTGCCATTTTGCATGATGAGTACCTTTACTTCTGATATTTTACAATTTGTTTATATGAATTTACTCAAATACATGTTTACTTATGTGAAAGATTCTTCTTCCACTGCTGGTTAAAACCGATTGAAGCAAACTGCATGTCATAAAAATGTGTTCGGACCAACAGGCCAGCTGTTCAACCATACATTAAATTCAAAGTTCAAGTTAATCAACACCACAACATTCTATGAATAACCACACACAAGGAGCAACACTTACTTCCTGGAGATCCTCTCTGTCAAGTCAAGTGAGCATCGATGAATGACTGAAAAGAATCCAGAGAGGTTCCTTATAACCCACACTCACTTGGGGGAGTTTCCTGTTGGCAAAGTGAAACTGACTCTTAAATAAACAGCCTAAACGGCTGGAAGAGAATGATGCTCAAAGACCTTTTGTCATTGATGTGTCAGTCAACTTTTGTACATACATGTGAGCATACTTTCAGTCAGACAAAAGCTGATCACAAATATCTTTTCACTGGCTGCACCTAATGGGTGAAACTATTTCCAAGTCTCAGTTGGCAGCCTAAAGCTAATGATTGATTCCTGGAAATCAGTGAACCCTGCTGCTGTTTGTCAGCAATAACCTTCCAGTGGTTATACAATCCATGAGTTTATAGACAATACTGTAGAGAACAGAAAGACAAAAATAGAGTGATGAGAAACAATCATCAGAATGACTGACAAAGAGAACAAAACAAACGATGGGAGGCAGAAGACACAAACACATTGACGTACATACTTGGCCTATAGCAGCATAAATAAGGGATGCTTCAGGATCACCTGAGCCGGTCCGAACTCTGAGCTTTATCAAAAAGATCAGCTGGAGCCTGATCTTGAAAGTAGAGGATTTCTCCCAAAGTAAGCAAATAGGTGTAGAAAAATATGAAACCATTCCTTTAAATTGCCATTATTTAATATTTGGTGTCGATTTTTGCAGACTTTGGTTACATAAGCAATCACTCTGAGATACATCAGTCATAGCATAAAAGAATAGCCCAATCAAACACATCCCATGGGGGCATCTTTAGCTTATCAGTCCAAATCGGTATCGGTACGCTCCCCAGTTCTGCATGATGCATGGTTTTGGCTTCAGTGATACTGCCTTAGATCGGTTTAGACCACATTTGTTAAATAAAATATATTCAATATTCAGTAATCACTGTTTCCTTTGACCTGTGGAGTTCCTCAGGGATCCAAGCTTGGCCCTCTTGTTCTCTTTTTTACGTTTCACTCGAACATCCCTGCGAATGCAATATTCATGATCATTTTTATGTGAACAACTAGAATTACTAGATGATGAATGAAAAAAAATGTGAAAAAGGAAACCTACACCAGTTAATGTCTTGTTTTTCAGAAACAAAGTGCAGGGCATCTCTTATCCTCCTTCAGTCTTGTCTCCTGCTCTGCAAATCTCTATCCAGCAGCTAAAAATCTGGTGTACTTTAGGACAGGGAGTCCTCTTTCAACCAACAAATCTACTCTCATTTTTGCTATTTAATTTCAAATTCAACCAACATGTTTTAAAACTATAGTTTGCATTAGCGAACAAGTCCCCTCACTGACATTCATGTTAGCAATTAATAACTGACTGTTAAAATGAATTAAATACAGCTACATTACATGTCTAACCACGGGCATTTGCCATTTGTAAACTTCAGAAATATCAGGAATGGATATCAGATATTTTGAGCTTTATATTCTACAACAATAAAGAATTTCTTCATCTGAACAAGTATTCAACTTTGCCCGAGAAAAATATCCGTTTGTCAAGCGTTTCCTACACATATTGTGTAATACAGCTGTGTGTGTGCTGCTCAGGTTAAGGAAGTCTCTGTCATGGTGGCTTATTACTAGCTAAACCCCACACAATGCCAACCAACTCACGTATCAACATTGACAACACAACATCAATCACAAAACTACTCATTTAACAATCTGCATTTGAACAATGACAGTCTTACAATGCCTGCCAACAGATAACTGCTGTCGTCTTGTCGAACACCTCCTGGAGTTGCTCCAACCAAAAACAAGCTGCGGTCTTCCATCTCTTTCGTAAGAGGTGTTCAGGTACTATAGTTCATTTAAATAATATTTTCTGACATCCATGTCTTTCGTCTTCAGCATTATTGATTAAAAGCCAATTCAAAAGCCCATTTTCTCACTGACTTGTAGTTGTAACCAGTCATCTAGGTAGCTCTGGTAAAGCTGTTTAGACTTCTACATACAAGAAGTCACGTGAAGTTTTATTAGTAGAACTCACAGCAGAAATGGAATAAAGTTCTGGATAATCCAAAGGTTTCAAGTTGAGAAACCTTCATGAGAAGACAAAGTATTTTGTGGATGGATTTCACATAGTTAAAGAAAGAAAAAAAAAAACACACACACACACTGATCATAGACCTCTCCAAACTTTTGCTATTTTTTGCCTCACACATGAAACATTACCTGTGCAGGAAGCACTACACTGAAATGAGACGCCACTTCGTTGGTTTGTCAGAATATTTTAGTGGTTTACATATACGACATGGATGTTTGATTTCGTAAAACAACACATAAAAATGTATAACTTAACAAAAATACTGGATTGTGGACCTGGATAAAAATGATAACACAAATAAAATCCTCATGGGTCCATTAAAAATAACGACGGTAGTCACCCTCCACTGGGACGGATAATCTAACATTCTCAACTGTCCATTCACTGTGACTGTTAATAAGACACTGTTGCATAGTTATCACTGGGTTTGAAAACACATTTTCTGGTCTTTCAGCAACAAAGAGTGAGTGGGGAGAACTTAAACGCAAAGTAAAACAGCGTGTTTCATCTTCAACAGTTAAGATGTGGCATACAATAAGCTCCTCAAATAAACATTCAAGTTCACTTTATGAGTTCCAGGTGTGACATTCCTTATCTCAGCGGCTTATTGCTCTGTGAATTCACGTACTGGTAAATAGTTAACACTTGATGTCGTCAATCCTCAGAACTCTGTACCTCTTTTATTGGTAGCCATTATCACAACAACCTATTGACATTACTACTTCTGTGAGCAGAAGTGTTGTATGTGTGTTTCTGGACTTCTGTTTCCTCAGGCTCAGGTTTGGCACAGAAGAGGCCCCATTCATTAAAATACAGACTGCTCCCCCCTGTGGCCAAATGGAAAAATGACCTGTTGAGACTGGCCCATTTTGCTGCACGGCCCACAGCTTGTCCTTCCTTGAACCAGCACTAAAGATGAGATGGTCCACGTAGAATCACAACCAAGCAGCTGTTGATTCATGTCTTTAAACAGCCCCTTTCTTCTCACCACTGCATGTGTGGGGGCTGCGCGTGGATCTGACTCTGATTTCTGTACTCGGTGTGTAGCTGCTTGTTGGCCTGTAATGAGTCCTGGCCCTGCAGCCAGTCTTGATAAAGGGTGTGCAGGGTGGGGTTGACCTCCGGGAGTCTGACTGGCAGGCTGCTGTAGGCCTCCTCCATCTGCTGGACCAGAGCTTTATCCACTCGACCTCCCGCCTCGCTCTCCGCCTGACCGCGGCCGCTCAAGCACCCTGAGGAGAAAAATGAGAGGACTCAAAATTGCAACCACTCATCAGTTAAAAGAGCTGGTGAGAGCTGTGGGGTGGCGCTGGATGTTACCTCCAGGGCAGGACAGCACCTCCACTAGCTGGTAAGGGACACGTCCCTTTCTTATACGATGAACTAGAGTCTGGATGTTCCTGAAACCATAGACGGCAGCGAACTGCAGCAGTGTTTCCCCATCCCGCTCCAGTGTCACTTCCTGGAAGTCCCGATTCCTGTAAAACCACCAACATGGTACATCGGAAAACAGTTCTCAGACAAAGGGATCGTATTTGATGTCCGAATTACAAGATAAGAGGACAAGATACTATTGGCATTGTAAAGAATTCACATAAAGTGATAGGGACTAATAAAAAAGGCTGGTTGGGTCATATTTCAGTCTATTATAGTCTCAGTGTCTCCTACCTGAGGGTCTTGTATGTGATCTCTTGGACGTCCAGACCAAAAAGCTCTTTAGCAGCGTGTTTGAACACGTGTTCCAGGAAGCCTTCAGAACCTTTGCCATCGTGCCTCACCAGTGCTACGTCTCCAGCCTCTCCCAACCTGCAGTCACAATGAAGCTACTATGATACGGACTCTGTGACAATAGTGTGTTTTATCTTATTATCACACAAGCCTGATAGCATTGATGTCCACTTGAATTACTTATGTTGATAGAACATCTGGTATGTTCATAAATTTATTTATTTTTTCTTATTTCAGTAACTTAAAAACTCACACTTGGTCCAGTGGAAGTGAGTCCAGCTCCTCCACTGACACTTTCCTCTTCTCCATCAGGTAATAGATCTCCCCTGAAACATGAAACATTACTGTTACTGAAACATCTCTATGATTATCAACGCCTTGCATGTTTTGATACTCTGAGTGAGGTAGTAAAACAAAGAACGAAAAAAAAGAGGAAACAAGCAGAGATGAGGTTTCAGCTTAAGTAGTTTTACTACATGTTCATCTCGGTGCTTGTTGAGCTGAATCTCTACAGCTGAGCAGGTGCGCAGATTTCTTAATTTAGCAGCAGTTGTGGCTTTCCCCACAGATAAAAATAGAATGACAGAGGAAGCAAAACCTCTTCACAAATGTCTGCTCTGAGATGCTCTATGCTGTCAGGTATCACCTGTCTCAAACCGCATCTCGGCACAAACGACTGGATCTCAACAGGAGAGAGGAAAAAAAGATATGCATCCTGTCGTGATAATTAGACTGTGTACCTTTGCACTGGGATAGTTGTGTGTATACACACGTGGACAACAGTGTTGGTACCCCTCGGTTAATGTCAGAAAAACCCACAATGGTCATAGAAACAATTTGAATCTGACAAAAGTAATAATAAATAAAAATTCTATGAAAATTAACCAATGAAAATCAGACATTGCTTTTGAACCGTAGTTTAACAGATTTAAAAAAATCAATAAATAAACTCATGAAACAGGCCTGGACAAAAATGATATTACCCTTAACTTAATATTTTGTTGCACAACCTTTTGAGGCAATCACTGTAATCAAATGATTTCTGTAACTGTCATGGGACTTGTGCACCTCTCGGCAGGTATTTTGGCCCACTCCTCATGAGCACACTGCTCCAGTTGTCTCAGGTTTGAAGGGTTCCTTCTCCAGACGCCATGTTTCAGCTCCTTCCACAGATGTTCAATAGGATTTAGATCAGGGCTCATAGAAGGCCACTTCAGAACAGTCATGTTTTCCTCTTAGCCATTCTTGGGTGTTTTTAGCTGTGTGTTTTGGGTCATTATCCTGTTGCAAGACAGGTTGGCTACAGTCCCATGGATCTTAAATTTCTGAATAATATGTGCATCTGTAGTCACAGGAACATCAAGCTGCTCGGAGATGGTCGTATAGCCTTTACCTTTAACATGCTTGTCTATCATTTTCTTTCTCATCTCCTGAGACAACTCTCTCCTTGGCTTCCTCTGGTCCATGTTTAGTGCGGTACACACCATGTCACCAAACAGCACAGCGACTACTTGTAACCCTATAAATAGGCCGACTGACTGCTTACAAGTTTGTCGACACCTGTGATGCTAATTAGAGGACACACCTTGATTGATCATGTCCCTATGGTCACATCATTATTATTTTTTATTTTATTATCATTATTATTGTTTTCACTCTTTTCTAGGGGTACCATCATTTTTGTCCAGGCCTGTTTCATGAGTTTATTTTTTAAAACAATTCTGTTAAACCACAGTTCAAAAGCAATGTCTGATTTTCATTGGTTAATTTTCATAGAAATTTTTATTTATTATTACTTTTGTCAGAGTCAAGTTATTTCTGTGACCGTTGTGGGTTTTTCTTTCATTAACTGAGGGGTTCCAACAATTTTGTCCACTTGTGTACATGTAATTAGGGCTTAGGACAATAATTAAAGCATAATTACCATTGTATTTTTGGCTTCCTGCAATTAAATAAACACAACTGACTATGATATTGATATTCAAAATGTATCCTTTGCTTACAAAAAACTCCTCTGCACATCAAGTCAAGTGCTCTCTAAACTGACAGCCAACCAGCAAACAATCAAGATATCTTGGCTTCGATTTTGAGAGCCGTCATGCCACTGTGCATGCATCCCTGCAGCAGCAGCCTGTGCAAATGGATGTTATGGCTGCAGTCCAGAGTACAAAAATGACAGACAACAAGGAGTCAGCCGACTGACAAAATCAAACGTCTGGAGCAAAAAGTGAAGAGTTGGTCCCTTGAAACAGATGATCATCATGAGCGGGAGATTGAGGCTCTGGGTTACTGATTGATTAGTTGGAAGTTAAAGCCCCAGAGCTGCCACTGTAAGACCCTTGATCCTTAATTCTATCTGCTCCAGGGGTGCCTTTTCATGGCTAAAGGTTGATAACGTTACGTCGCTAATTCTCTGACTTGGCCAGTGTCTTGTATAACACATCACCACATCGTACAAAGAATAAGTGAAAGCACCTGATTTGATTTAATTTTGGGGAAAAAGTGCAAAGTACAATTTTAGTTATATCCAAATCCTATTTGATGCATTATAAATAAGGACAAGTCTGCAAAGATTTGTACATTAGCAGGAATGTTGGAGAATGTGGAAGCAAAAAAAGACTTTGGCTTATTTATATATGAAAGTGCAATAAAATATCTTGTCCCTAAAATCAATGAGTAATATGATACATCATTTTAATCTAAATATTGATCAAAATAATCACGATTTTGCCCTTATAGTGCAGGTTTAGTTCTCCTGTATGACTTTTAAATAGCCGAGAGTCACGACGAGGTGCAGAAAGAGAATTGTAGAGGCCCTGGGAGGAAGCTATCACTTGAATTCTTGACTTGTTGAAAATGTTACTCGGAATTTTTCCACTGTACAGACATGACTTGGCTGTCAGATAAAATCTCCAGGACAGAAAAGTTGCACTTTATATGCCCAACAAGCTCTACTAAGCATTCTCAAAAACTATCTGGTCCAGAGTTGTGGTCCAGAGCGGTAGTGAGTAAGACAGCCCTCTTTATCTTACCTGAGGTGAGGACACAGTCCACGTCCCTGGTCTCCAGCAGACTGTTGTAGAACTCCTCTCTGACAGCCTCGAGCTTCTTATCAAAGCAGGGAGCCACCACCACATGGTAGACTTTCTCTGGACTCAGCTTCTGCTAGGAGAGAGGGAGAGAAAACATAACAAGACTGATTCTTTTCTGGGTCGGGAATAGAAGCAGAGCAGAACTGAATGTGACTTTAGCCTATAGTCATAGTGCTGTGTTGGCTGTGTTGAGACTGTTCAGCTTTATCTTGAACACACCACCTGTCACAGCCAGCTATCAATAAATGTCTTCTCCATTATTTAGTCAACATTTAGACAGGGCAGACTCACTCTACTGAACAACTTACAGTACTGTAAATGACCGAAACTAATAGTTCCTCATTTAGTTACATTTTTTTCATTGGACTCAGGGCTTTCCCTCTGATTTCTGTCAAGCAGCTGCATACTTATGTCAGTTAGAAACTAAAGTTTTATCTGAAATGATGTGGAGTTGCTGCTCTGTTACTTAGCATTTGACTAGCTAAGCTGCAGCTAAACCAGATGTATGATGAGGTTAAAATCTGCCCAACACATCATAATGGTCTTGCTCCTAAACAGAGACACCAGATCGCTCCACTCCCTATAGACTTGACTTCAAGATTCTCACTTTATAGTCCACCATTGTTTGACTCTGTTTGAATGTGGGATCTTTAAAACCACTTTTTCTTTCTTGAAGCCCCCTGAGACATGTCAAAATCTGCAAAGTTTCACCTCCAACCATTTCTATATTTGAGGTTATTTCTAAAATTGTTATCTGTTGCAGCATTTATTATGAGTTGCATTTTTGTTTGCATTTGTCTTATGATTGACTGATGTCTCCCTCAAAGAGCAGCACAATTTCAAGAGTTCAGTAGTAGCCACAAATGGTGCTGACTGTACATGCAGGTATTTCGATCACAGTGTGTGATTTTTGTTTTTGCTTTCTGTGGGATTAATATTTGAAAGTTCTAAGTAAATGTATCACATATTAATTTGGTCCACCTTTTAACTTGTTGCTTAAACAACTGTTTAAAGGCACTACCATCCACCCATGCTCCTTTGACTGTAAGTTGTGACAGAGAAGGATCCCTCACCTGCTGTTTGGAGAAGTAATCTTTGACCAGACAGCCCATGATCTGCTGAGGAGACCTGGCTGTGCAGATATGAGGAGTGACGAGACTGCCTAGGACACGCTCTGAATACCGAATCCACCCTGTGCACACACACACACACAAATTGTTTATTAATCAGTAGTCCATGTTGTAATTTATTGTAGGATAATAACAGGCACAAACATGCAAACAGTACATTTCTTAATGGGAAATAAAGTCACCTATTTCAGATGTAAAATTCAAAATCATTCCACAACAATCCACATTTGACAAATGTTTCATTTCTTCGCAATCAGTTATGAATGGTATTAAACAGGGAACAGTCTGGTTTCTGCTATTAAATAATCATCACCAAGGTATAAATATTCAATTTCTAAAAACATTCTGGCAGATTCCTGTAAATTTGCCCATTTCTAAACATTGCTGACAATCCCACTTCCCCTTGACGTAGGAATTTTCCAGACTTTCCATGGCTGAATTTGAGTGATGCCAGCCTCCACGACCAATGGCAACCCTGGAATCTTAAAGTCTAGATGTCTATGCATTCTGTGGTTAAACCGAATTAAAGGGCACTGAAGTTCTTGGGTCCTATCTGTAGCTCTGATGAAGGGAGTGGTGAAAGAAGAGCTTTCTATCTTTCCCCACCAGCTCTTTACTGCTATCTGTGCTTCTAAAATAAGCCCTATTGATATTCCATGTATTCAACACATGGCACGATAAGGAGCTTAGTGTACAGTATAAAACATATAGAGCAGCAGGAGAAAGTTGCAAAGAAGATACATTTAAAAAAAGAATATGAAAAATAGAACCAAACATTAGGGCAGAAGATAATTCAGTTGGACAGAGAATCCGTCTACAAGTAGGGAAAACAGAAAAAACAAAAAGCAGAGGAGGCAAAAGAAGTGAGGATGAGGACAGTTTACCTGGGCAGGATGAGGTGAACATGGGCAAGGCGTGGGAATCATGGTTCCTCCTGCGATACCTCTGAATAAACTCTTTCTGAGACTCTAAGATGCTAAAACCTGCTGCCAGAGTGGTGTCGAACACATATTGCACTCCTGCAGAGAGTAGAGACAGACAGTGAGTAAAAGGAAGATGTTGAAAATCTATTACTGAGATCAACAGATATGTGGCAGTCTCTAAACACCAATGACAGATTTGTTAACAGTTGCAGACGATAAATTAAAGACTTTCTTTAGTAGCAAGTTGAGAATGAAGTCCTTTCATTTAACAGAGCTAAATCTGCTTTTAGATACAAAATGGGACAGAAGATAGTAAGAAAAAGATTGTCAAGAGTCACCCCAGATCACACAAAAACCCCAGAACATTTCCACATGCTCACCCAGGCTCTTAAGAAAGCTGCAGAGTTTGTGGGCAGCTTCAGTGATGTCCAGACCGAACTTGACAGCAAAGAAAGGCAGGGACTGTGGACACACCGACGCCACCAGCACCTTGTGCTTCGACACGTCACACCTCTAACAGGGTCAGAGAAACAATGGGGACAGCGTTATTGTTAAAATTATTGTTCAAAGTGCAACAAGACAACACTCTGGCTTGCTCAGGTTTCTGAGGCAAGCTTCGGGCGCAGTGTACCTTATTGAGCGCTAGAACTCGCTCCACTTCCTCCAGGCTCTGCTGAGAGATCTTCAGGCTGTCCTCCTCTGACAGACAGCCATCACAGGACAGACAAGCACTCAACAACAACTGGGATCCCTCATTCACCTAAAGAACAGTAGAGAGTGTCACAGGAGAAGGGTTGTTTGAAACTTTCAAAGAGACTTCCACGCACTCCCTGACAAAAATCTAACACAGAAAAGCTGCTGATAAATGTATTTTTGCAATTTTTAGAAACTTTTGGAAATGCTTGTTCTTCTACCTGCATGCCTGTCTCATAAATCAGATAATAAAGTTAATCTGTCTTAAGTCATGGCAAGTAAAGTGATTTTAAGACACAAATTATAGCTATGAAAAAACTTTTGTAGTGGACTCTCATATGGTTGGGGGACTGACATGGAACAGATGTTTAAAATGATTGAAAATCATTGGAACCTATATGATAAGATAACTCTTTATTGATCCCCAAAGTGGAAATTCGGGACTATGTCGTGACTTGATAGCATCTTTTCACAAACCTTCCATATCTCCACTTTACAAATTAATCTTACATTTTTGTAGTAAATGTGCAGTCTCTACATGCAAACTGAGATAATCCAGGGATTCTTTTTAGACTGTAGAAACCTCTACTTTTTTTCCCAATCTGAACAGTACTCCTGGTGGTCAGTTTACTAATTCTGTTGTATAAAATTGGTGGACTGGATGTGGTTAAATCAATCCATAATAGAACTTCTTAGTAATCAGACTTTACCTGTCCGTTGACGTCTTCCGTCGTCTGTTTTGAGTTAGCACCATCATCACTCTGCTTCTTGTTGCACTGCATTGAAAGAGAAATAATGATTCAATTGAGGACTGACAGCAGGAAAAAAACATTTCAAATGCAGCACTTGTAAGTGAATCAATTGATTCACAGTGATACATACCTGTTTGGTGCAGTTCTCACACTTGTCCTTGCGCTTTGCTATGTTGACCTCTGACATCTTTCTTGTTGGCTACCTTTAAATCGAGAGGTACACAGTAAATGGAAAACAGCCCCACTGGCTTCCCTGTGTTGGATCATTTCCTCATAGCCTGTGAAGCAGCAGCAGCAGCAGCAGCAGCAACATGGTGACTGCGGCTGCGGATCGCTGCTGTGTGTTGTATTAGTCTGCTCCACCCTCCTCTGACCGGCCCCTCGGCCTATTACATGAACCCGCTTATCACAAACACAGCAGCTTTACGATGGTGGGAAAGTGATGATGAACACAAACTAGTATCCTGTCATTAAATTTAAATTGCTCTCGTTAATTATATACGCAGTGCCAACAAAAACATCCATAGAGCCCCATTACGTCCCATTACGTGCATATGAGGTGATAAACGACAAGTTTGGGCAGAAAGCTGTCATACTGCAAAATCCCATACAGTTTGGCCTATTGTAGGTATATAATATGTTACTCTGTCGTGATTTAAAGGACAACATATTCAACTGTTTGGTGAATATTTCGTTATATAGCCCTTTCTACAACATTAATGACAGAACGTTAATTAGCTTATATTTTAGCTAGCTTTCACTTTACGACCTAATACATGCCAATATATTACAGGCCTTTATTTTATAAAAATATGTAAGACACGAAAGTCAGGCCTTAATTGTGAAAATGAGTAAATAGTGCAGCAGGCCCAGTGTTAAAAATCACAAGGACGAACTTTCAGGTGACTCACCGGACGGTTACTGCTCTTTCGGGACAAAGGGATGGGGAAAATGCAAGAGGGCAGCCAGGAGAGCAACTACCGCCAACGGAGGACTGCAGCACCACACAGCAGGTGAACCCGGCGGTTACTCAGCGCTCTCTTTCGCCCTCAGGTCAACTTGTCTATGGTCGGAGACACCGCCACCGCTGGCTCCGAGCCCAGCGGTTATTTCATAATACGCTAACTGCTGCTTTCATAAGCGACAGGGTTTCTAGTTTCCCAACCGGTCGTCCCTGTGTACGTCCGACTCCATTGTGTGCCCCGGCAGGTCCAGGGCGCATGCGCAGAAGGGCTGTTAGCCTGCTCCGGAATGTGGCTTTTTCTACAATGTCAAAAGAAAACGCTGCGGAAAAATAACTACGAAACTACACTGCCAGGAATTTAATACTCCTAATCTATCTACATGTATTTATTTTAAGTAAGTGTGAAAAAGAAGACAAAATGTGATAATTGTTAAATAAACGAAAGCATATTTTTATAAGAGATTAAAAAAAATCTTTTGAAATCGCTACTCAGTTGTAGAAAATCCAAAAAGTGTGCGCAGGGAACAGCGAACACAATCACACACATATATATGTTTTTAAATGCTAAATATTTAAATATAATTAAATTAAATATTTGTATTATAATTTAAATATAATAAAATATAATTTAAATAAATAATGCCTTCTAAGCTTTTATTTTGAAGGTAGCGTGAAAATGACCAATCAGCGCCGACGGTTCCAGGAAGGAAGAATCACCCATTCAGGACAGTTGCTGCTGTTGTTGCAACAATATGAACACAACTTCCTCATAATTCACTGCATGTGTTTCCTCCTGCTAATGCTCTTTTCCTAACGCCGAGCGACCCTAATTTACTGAAAAAAAGAAGATTTTAAGGTAAGCGATACAAAATCTCACAATATTGGTGTTTTATTTTGTTCTGGTGAGACAGTGTTGTGTGGACACCCCATCCTACCATCACCAGCAGCAACATCAGTCTGGTCTTGTAGGGTTTACAGATCTAATTAAAGGATCAGTTCACCCAAACGTAAAACGTGGCTCTAAAGGCAGAAATGAATATATGTTCCCCTCCTACTTGTAGTGATATCAAGTTTCTCACATAAACAGATCTCAGTTTTAGGATTATTTCTTAAGGCAGAAAATGGCTCCAATGCTTACCAGCAACATATCTGGATTACCTGGAGTAACTAGAATATTGTTTCTGGATATGGCTGGATTAACATCCCAGGGACGATGGCGCCTATTGAACTCTCCTTACTCACACTTGTATAGAGGTGGATCACCACCTTAGCACAGATATGATAATGTGGCAATGCAATTAAGTCCACTAAATTATACATTTTCAGCAGAAAAGCTGAAAACTGAATAAATTAAGATTGTAAAATTTGATGTAGTCACACTGAAGCTGTCTTGAAACTTCCTTTAAGGACAGAGCCCAATGGCAATAAAGTATGACCAACATTAAGGCTTCTGTTTAGTGGCTCATAATTCTAAAATTCAACAAGCTTCAACAACAGTCTGACATGTCAAAAATACGAAACGTGTGTAAGAAAATAAATGATAGGTAAATGTTAGCTTACTGTTATTAGAAATAAATATTTTTTTTCCTATCAATATAGGAAGAAATAAAATAAATTTTGGAGAATGTCACTTGGTTGTTGTTAGAGCTGGCAGCTGAAATCTTTGAGGCAGATATTACTGGAAACTAAGAACATATTTTTGTGATTTGGGTGAACTAGGCTTTTATTGTATTGGTATTATATTAATGTAAAATAGATCTTTTTATATATAAAGGACTGAAATAAGGTTCTTGCCTTTGTTCAGATGGGCTACATGATCGTAGAAGAGCACAGCTCCACCCTTCTCCACCTCAAGAGATCCCCGGGGATCCGCTCATGGTCTCTTCTTGTTGGTAGGTTTGTTACTGAAACACTCAAACAGGAAATGAGCATCACAACATAAGCCATACACCTACAACCTCTTTAGTTAAAACACTTGTTTCAACACCCCGTTGCCTGAATTGTCTCCAAAATGAAAAGCCTTTCATTTTGATTGCAGGTATAGCATCTGTTGGTTTGGCCGCGGCATACTACAGCTCAGGTACACAAACTGAATTTACACAATCTCTCTTCCTAGTTACTTCCTACATGTTCTTACAGCAGCTCCATCTGCTTCATGTGTTCTTCTTGTGTTGTGTGAATCCCACAGACAGCGTCCTGTGGAAACTTTTCTATGTGGCCGGCTGCCTGTTTGTGGCCATGCAGAACATGGAGGAGTGGGAGGAGGCCGTGTTTGACAAAACCAAGAACCTGATCGAGCTCAAGACGTTTAGCTTGTATACTTTAGTCCTGACCTTATGGAGGAAGGGGCAAGAGAAAGGTCAGTAAAAACCACCGAGTAGGTGAGTCAATGCAGCAGTCTCCATTATTGAGGTGAGAGGGCAACGTGTTGGATCTTAATGCTTTTTCTTTCCCTCTCTCAGTTGTGTTGGATCTCACCCAGCTGTGTGACGTGTGTGTCCAGGAAGAGAGGGTTCGGTATTTGGGGAGGGGTTATCTGCTGATGCTGCGGATGGCTGCAGGCTTCTCCTACCCGCTCACTCAGAGCGCCACACTGGGGGGACGCAGGTAGGTTACCTGCAGCTGGCAGTTCCTACATGTTAATTCATGGGTCATTCTGCAGCATCTGACCATTCAGTGTATTTGCATTTTGTAAGTTTTCGTTGTACAGTCGTCCTCAGATGTATTCATATCCTTCCATTAAAGAAAAGGCAAAATTCACAAGAGTCACTCAAATAACTAGAAACTGAAAAAAGTAATGATAAATAAAAATTTGCTAAATTATAATTTGCTGAAATAAGACATAGCTTTTGAATTGTGGTTGAAAAGAATAATTTAAAAACAAGAAACAAAACTATCCCGGACAAATGAGAGCACTTTGCTGATGAGCAGTGGGCCAAAATCCAAATACCTGTCAACAGATGCAGTAGTCTGACTGAGAGTTACAGAAAACACTTGATTGCAGTGATTGGCTCAAAGAGTTGTTCAATTAAATATCAGTTTGCGGGTCCCATCATGCTTGTTTGCTTTTTTAAAAAAAAAATATTTCTGTTGAACCACAATTCAAAAGCAATATCATGATTTTCATTACATTTTTATTTATTACTATTTGTCAATTTCAATTTTTTTCAGTGACAGCTGTTTTTTTCCCCTTCATTAATGGTAGGGTATGAATACATCTGAGGACGACTGTACCTTCATGAAGTATCTTTATGAAAGTACAGAAAAAATGTAACATTGCAACTTTCATAAATGTAGGATTTATTGCAGGACTCTTGTATATAACACACTGGATTTGCCTTGTGTACTGATTAAACTGCTAACTAAGCATATTTGTATACACATGTGCTCATATGGAAGGCAAAAAGAGGTAAAGAGCACATACACAATTGTGCAAACAAAACCTACACCCTCAGACCACGGTTAGTTAGCCACTAAAGGTCTGAAAGTCGAAAGATTATTATTTTTAAAGTGCTAATATGAATATTATTACTTAGTACAGGTAATAAGTAATGAACTGAAAGATAATTACCATCAAACTACTTCTTGTCTCTATGAAGCCTTTAAGTCTTTTTGAGCTCAGTGTTTTGGCTTACTGTCCTGGTTACCTCTCAGGCCTCTAATTAGGTTCATTTCCAGCAACAACTCACCTCAGACTACCTGTCCAACAGTAAACAGCAGATAAAGCTAGTGAGTAGCTGATGAACATAGAGGAGTATTTAACAGCTAAAAAGTGTGATATTTTTCTCAGCAGTTGGTCGAGGTGGAGACCAAATATGGAGCTAAAAGGAACGAACCTTGATCCTAAATTCATTGCGAGGCCTAAAACAACAGTTCTAATGCTGATGCTGCTTCTTATCTTTGCTGTTGTTTGCTCAACCTTTTAACAGGATTTTTTCCTTTATCCCCATTAGCTGTCACAGCACAACAGCTACTGTTCCTGAGATCCACAAAAAAAAAAAAAGGATCGACAAGAGTATACCAATTTCCCAGGATAATGAACATTCATGAATACTTTATGGACACAAATTTTGTAATTATGACCCTTCATTGTATCTCTAAACGTGTTTGTCTCCTCAAAAGTCATATTAAAATCACAATCAAAACATTTGAAAACAACTATTAAAAAAAAAAAAAAAAAAAACGTTACCAAAGACAAATTTCCACACTGATAGACAGTAAATGTGTGTTCTAATGATACAGCATATGCACATTTCACATGCATACTATGTACTACACAATATACGGTACGTCTAAACTGATGCACACATTTTTACAAAGCACTGGTACAAAGTGTGTATTTGACACATAGTTCAATGTAGGGATTATTTAAAATCTCTATTCCTAATATCGACTTTGTGCCAGTCTTGCACAACAACTTCTCTAGATAATTTATTGATCTTTTAAGCTACTACTACTGCAAAAGAATGCTGTCTCAGCTGTTACTACTGTGGGCCATCATAGCCTATCACACAGTAGAACTCATTAACCTCCTATAGTCTTTATTTGGATTCATGATCTACTAATGTGACTAATAATACCAAACAGTTAGTTCAAAAAACAAGTGAGACAAAGTCTATCTATAAAACTGACATAAGATAACACAGCATATCCCTGTTCTCCTTCTGTCCACCCGTCAGTGACGTGGAGGCTCTCTCCACACTGCTGAAACGCTTCCTGGGGCTGGAGGAGCTGAAGCAACGCAGGCAGCAGGAGTATGAGGCCGAGTACGGAGAGGAGGAGGGGGAGGAGGAGGAAGATTCTCTGGACAACATCACTGACTCAGACGATGAAGCTGATGAACTCTGATCTCGTGTAGTGTTTACTGTAACTTTGGGTAGATTGCGTTAGGGGGCATCATGGCACTGCAAAGGCATTACAGAGGACGAGGTTTTCGTGATGCCCTCAACACACGGTGAACTGTAGCATGTGCATGGGACTCCAGGGATATTGACTCGTTTAGCGTCTCCTCACCGACCTCCTCCTTGTATTTTTCAGTGTTTCGGGTAAATTAAAGTTTATTTGAATATCATTTCCATGTTAGTTTTGGTAAAATTAAAAAAAAAAAAAAAGCTCCAGGAAATCTGATAAAGGGACTTTTTCCATTCATTACACTGTAACCTTCCTTAAATTAATGTAAGTCTAAACATCTAAACATTTTTTTAAACTAATTACTATTTGAGAATACACTCCAGATTATAGATTTTCTGTGCCTTCCTACTGAACTCTAATAAGTGTTTATGTGTTCAAGACAATGCAGAGTGTTTTTCCCACAGTTTTCTGGGCCACCCAGTTCATAGTCACCTTCTTTTGCATGTTTATTCATACCCAGTCTGCAGTCCAGATGAATGCATGTGCAAACTGTAATTGAGCATGAAGGATTTTCTGAGCTCAGTCGAAAGTAAATTAGGTGTGAAATTCGTGGGTCTGTTGCTGTTCTGTCTGTTCACATTTCTGTACTTTTTTTTAATGAACCAAAGACTGAATCTCAGGCAAACACTTGTAGGGTGCTTTGGACAAACAGTTTCTTTTTTCTTCCAAAAAGTATAATGAATCACCTCTGATTGTGAATGCTGATATGTGCTACTTGAAAGGAAAATCTGAGCATTTTTGTTAACTGATGGTTGATTTTATTGTACCTGTTTATTTTCGTACATTTGCAAATCTTATATAAAGCTCTTTTTGTATTGAAACTACATTGCTTTCTCTCGTTGCTTCACATGCACACCAATAAGTGGAGAATCACATATAAAATAACTCTTGTTAGTGTTAGTGCTAAAATTAGGAGACTAGTATCTGAATTCATCAAAAAAGCAGTTTAATGCCAAAGTGGAAGATCTCTCTAAGGCACCATCTCCTTCACACAGGCTCCGATATCATCTGTTATCCTCTGCAGAGGAGACATCACAGGGCTCACATGTTCCTCTATCCACTCCTGTGCCGTCGACTCTGGGAAAAGATGCACCATCTCCTCCCTCACTGCCTCCACCTTCTGTTGTAACATCACCAAGTACCTGAGATGAGACCAGATGGGGCTTAAGTTAGAAGCCACATTTGAGCTAAATGCTAAATTTTGTAAGCTAACATGCTAACGACAAAAATTCAAATGCACTGGTGTTTAGAAGATCTTCTGTCTACTGCTAAACTAGAGGAAAAGCTGGAGAATTACTAAGGTCATTTTAATTCAGTGTTTTCACCAAAAAAGTCGTGGCAATCAATCAAAAAGTCATTTAGACATTTCAGTCTGGACCAAACTTGTCAACTGCCCAGCTAGAGCTGCTACTGCTAGAGCTACGCTGTTAGCATAAAAACCTGGGATTTTGAGAATTAAGTTGAAACGTTTTAAGACAAAGTCAAAATTTTTTTTTAAGTATTTCAAGAAAACATCATATTATGCTGATATTTTATGAGAAAAAGTGTCATTTCAAAATAAAGTAGCTACTTTGAATAAAATTTGAAGGTTGACTAAGAACAAAACGTCATGTGTTACGACTTGAGGAAGTATTTGCGAGCTACATTTGCACGTAATCTAGTAAGGTGCTTCCTGGTAAAAGCCAAAACTTCAGATTATTTGTGATCTCTGTCTGACTTGTAAAAGCTGACTGACTGCTTTCACCTGTTTTGTTGAAATGTAAGAACTGTAAGCTCACGTTGCTGCTTGGCTGTGAATCTGCATGGTGATGAGCGGAGTTACCATCTTCCTCTGTCGGTGGTACGGGCTGAACCATCCTCTTACAAACCTGCAGGAGCACAAAAACATTTGGTTGTTTAGCTACAAAGGAATAATAATATGCTCTATCTATGAAAATGGTAAAGAAATACTTCACAATTTGGCAACTACACTTATTTGCATTGACATCTGTTGGCTATACTAAATATGAAGCCAGTGCTAGCAGCTTGTTAGCTTAGCTTGACATAAAGACCAGAAATGTAGTCACAGCTAACTTGTCCCTCCCAAACCTTAAAAAAAAAAACAAATTCAGAACCTCTACAGCTCAAAAATTAACAAAAAATAAAAAATAAAAAATGTAATCTGTATGAAAACTACAGTGCAAAATGACATTTTGAGGGTGGTTGGTGAACTATTTGACGTAATCCAGCACATAACATGTAAACAAAGCTTTAGCACTTTTTTACCCAGACTTTCGGCTGTTAGCCATTGCAGAAACTTTAACCTGAATCTGTCCGTGTTCTGACTGCAAGAACTTCCCCTGTAGAACCTCTTTCACTGAAAGCCCTGCTAGCTTTTTACCTGCTTCCAGACTTTATGTTAAGCTAAGCTAACCCACCGCTAGCTGTAGCTTCATATTTTGCATACACAAAAACTGATAAATTACTGAAAAAGAAAAATGTCACACTATTCCTGTAAGGTAAATGAAACTGTGGAAATTACATTTTATAATCACTTCCCATAACTCACATGTTGCTTTCAAAAAATCGTATATCCTCCGAGTTGAGGAGTGAATTGATCTCAACGATCAGCTCCGCCAGCCTCCTTCCTGGAAACAACGAGTCGGCTGCACATGTCCTGAGGGCCGCACAGAGCAAACTCCTGTTAGCGTGGACATACTTGTATACAGTGACTGTGTTGTTCATGAAAACCCTCACCTCTCCATGGCTTCCACATCCACTGCAGAAATCCCCAGCGTCTCAGTGACTTTGCTCTGAGCTTGGGCACTGAACTGACCGTGGAGGAGAGTCTGCAGACAGGATGCTAGTGACGGGACAGCCACAGGCATCAGCTCACACAGCACTGACAGATGGTCATACCTGACAGTGGGTACAAAATTGAGCAAGTAAACAACTTTTTATTCCATGTACACTAACACAAAAATGATCTGACTCAAACAGCTTTCCTAAACTGCAGGATGTGACGACTCCAACCTGCAGAACTCCCTCTGACTCCTACCTCTGCCAGCCCGTGATGGCGATCCCCTTCAAGTTCACACCAGCAGACAGAGATGCAGCCACCTTCAGCCACTGCAAATGATTGTCCACGTGTCTCTGTGTGCTGGTCACACAGGTGTAAACACTGGTGGAGCCTTTAAAGGAGCTGGCTGCCCACACATCCGTCATACCGGCGCTGCAGTACTTCTCCAGCAGAGACACTGGAAAACACAGTTAGAGGTTATTCAACAATGCCCATGTCTTGCACACACTGTAGCTCATTTCAAGGTTGCTAATTGTAGACATGCAAGATCCCCTGCTGCCTTTAAAATGTGAGTTACCTGCAATTTAGTCAACTATTTATTTACAATCATGATAAACTGCACGCCAGAACGAGTTAATGTTGCAATTCATTGATATTGCGATACTTGATATATTGCAAGACAGTCATTTACATTACACATTCTGATTTCTGAGCGGCTGGAGAAGAAAAAATACAGTTAAAAAGGCAAAAAGTAGGAATAATTCATTTATATAATGATTATTATTTCATATTATTGTGCATTTATCAGTTCTGTTAATTAGTGGTGTGCTATTTCACCCCCTGTGACTTTCTTTTTCTTCTTCACCACAGGTTAGTTAACTTCCATTAACTTTTCTTTCACTCATTTAATAAGTTCTACCACAAGCAATCGTAAAGTAGTAACTCTGAAATGTCAAACTTGTCAGCCGAATTCATTTAGAGTGCACGTTTGAATAAAAATATAGATATCTGGTGCCAGTGTGTTGAAAGCGTATTGCAAAAGGAGGTGATACAATAAGTTGCTGAATCAATATTTTGTCCCAACTTTATGTATGAGTTTTGATATTGCAAAACTTTAGAAAACAAGTTAATTAAACTTAAGATATTAAGTTGAATCAACTGTTTAGTCACTTAGGATACAGACAGACTTGGCAGGCATATTATTGAATTTCCCTTCTGGGATAAATAAAGTATTTTTAATTTCATTTCATTCATTTCAGGCAGCAAGTTTCAATCATGTCTATTTTCTTCAAACTATAAAAAATGAGATGACTTTTAACACTCTAAAAACGCAGGCTGAGGAATATGTTTGTTGATATGTTTGTTTTGAGTTGAATCAATTCTCAGCTGTTCATTAAATTCAAACCTAAAAGTGAGACATCCTCAGTTGAATTAACCAGAAATGAACACAACGTTCATATAATTACATTAACTACAGCAGAAAACATGAGTTGATTTGACTTATTTCCTGTTAAAGGTTTTACAGTGCACTAGCTGATCATGTACAATATTTCAGTGTTTGAATACTACGTGCACAGTTCCTACCAGTTTTGTCCACATCCAGGTCAGGAGTGTAGTCCCACAGCATGGGCTGGACGAGTCCTACTAGACCACTGGCTGTGACATGGATAACAAAAGACAACTGTTAAATAAAAAGGCAATTGAATGCAAAGACACCAAAACCAACAGTGGTTATACAGATGGGGCATGATCACCAGTTGCTGCCCGCATCAAATTCAAAACTCTGACACTTGCCCACAAAACTACAACGAGAACAGCTCCCTCCTACCTGAACTCTCTCATTAAGATCTACACTCCCTCCCGCTTACTACGCTCGACCAACAAAAGCCGCCTGATACAACCACCACAACAGGGCCTGAGGTCGATAACTATAGACTCTTCTCCTCTGTGGTTCCCTGGTGGTGGAATGAGCTACCAAACTCTGTTCAATCTGCTGACTCCCTCTCAGTCTTTAAGAAAAGACTAAAGACCCAGCTCTTCACTGAACACCTTTGCACTTGGCAGACTGAAAACAAAAGAAAAACAAAAAAATAAAAATATTCCTATTACCTCCCACCAAGCCCGCTATTAGCATCAACGCCCTATGACACTTGAACTTGTTTTATGGCACTTATCCAGGTTGTTTTCTCCTGACTAGATCCTTGCTTGTGTTGTATCCGCCGTCAGATGTATGCCACTTTGGATAAAAGTGTCTGCTAAATGAAATTGTAGAATTGTAACCCTGAGATGGTCCCAGCAGGTCCTAACAAAATACCACAATTTTGAATTTTAATTTGGATAGCATCTCTGTTTGCAGAAATGAATTTATTATTGGACCTATTGCCATTATTATCCATGAATGTAGCTCACTGATGGAGTACTTCATCAGATTTTACTTATTTATAACATTACTGCTGCAAAAATACTCCATTACATGTAAAGTCCTGGATTTCAAAGTATAAGAGTGTGAGTAGAAAAATGTATTTGAGGTATTAAAAGTAGAGGTGATTAATACAGAAAAATGTCCCAGTGAGTATCACTGCATTAGTATGCATAATTAAACCATATATGTGCTAAGCAATTGTAATTTGATTACAATTTGTAACTCTAACTGCATCCTATTCTATTTGATTATGTCACAAATGAAGAAAAGTAGCTTCTTTGAATACTATAGTGTGAAAAAGCTTCTAAGGTACTGAAAATCTTGTTTCTTTATATCTCTCTCTACTTTTGATGTTGCTTTTAAAAGAAATCTCAACACTTCAAACACAACTCCTACTGACCTTTCAGTGTGTCCTGGCTCATGCCCCTCATCATATCATCCCACATTATGACGGTCATGTGAGGCCACGCCTCCTTGATAGCCTTGGCCACCTTAGTCACATGACTCAGGAAAAGCTGCTCCACTGTATGTCCAGGAGGAGTCAGCCAAAGCTTGGATTCCTCACCCTCACCGAGCATGTACACCTTGAGGCAATGGAGACAAGCGCATTAGATTCAGCAGTGAAAATGCTGCTCATTAACCAAAAATCCGCCCTCACCTCATCTGCTCCAATGTGCAGCGTGTTTAGACCAGGATGCAGTTCCACCACCTGCCTCAGCATCTCCATCACCAGCTTCAGCCCCTCCTCTCTGTGGGGATTCAGGGTGCCCACGCAGTGCGTCACCTCTCTCAGGTGCCACATGGGCCGATGCTTCAGCACAAACTGTGTGAGAAAGGGGACGAAATAAACACATGCAGGCCTCTGATATGAAAGACAGAACGTAATACAGAACTCCATCTCAAACTGGAACAACTGTAGCCATACACTGATCAGCTACAACATTAAAACCACTTGTTTTATATTGTGTAGGTCATCCTTCTGCACCCAACCACCTCTTCGGGGCATGAACACAGGACCTCTGGGGGTGTCCTGTGCTGTCCTACACAAGAATGTTTGCAGTGGATCCTTTGGGTCTAGTGGTTGATCCTCTGTGGATCAGGGAAGTTCCAATGTATCCCATTAATGCTTGATCACGCTGGCATCTGAGGAGATGGCCTTATTGTCATGTTCCTCAAACTTTCCCAAACATTCCTGCTACATGCCAAAATAAAATCCACATGAAGGCTGGAACCTAAAGTTTCCAATCAGAATTGTAACGAGATGATCAACGTTATTTACTTCACCTGGCAGCTGGTTTTAATGTTGTGGCTATTAAGTGTTTTGTTTTTTTTTTCTTCAACTTTTTATTCACAATTTTTCACAGTCCAAAACAGAACAACATCTGGGACAAGATAAGTGAAAAAAGCCCAAAAAACAAGAAAAGAAATAATAATAATATAGATACTGTGTACATAAATATTGCAGATGATACCAATGTACATAATGATAAACGTTTTGCAATAATAAATATCATATATATTAATTCCACTACTTTGAGATCAACTTCGACAACCCATATAGTTTACATATCCAGGTACTCTTTAACCATGTGTCATCTCTGGTTAAAAAGATCCATTTTCATTTGTAATGATGCAGTCATCCTTTCCATCATATATATCCGTGTTAACCTCTGTTTCCATTCAGCTACCGTTGGTGATTTAACATCCTTCCAATTTACAGTGACAGTTTTCTTGGCAATCAATAATAATATATGCAAAATGTATCTTTGGTCAGCATTGAAAACATCGACCGGGAAAACACCAAGTAAATAAAACAGTACATTTGATGGGATTTCTCTTTTTACAATTCTCTCAATCTCTTCTTTAATACTTTTTCAGTGTCCAAGAATCACTGGACAGTCTCAGAATATATGATCACTTATTTTACCACATTGTCTCCAGCATAAAGCTGCTGAGGGATCTTTTAAAAAATCAGAATTTTCTGAATCTGATTTTGAGTTTCCAGTTGAATTCTTTCCATTGCTGACTGTAGATACCCTTATGAGAGTCGTTGTAGAGTTTGTCCCATAGTTCGTCTTTCATCATAGTATTTGATTCTAATTCTCATTTTTCCTTGATATTATAAGTATTCTGAAAAATGTCTGATGACAATCTTTTATAAAGATAAGGGACATGTTTATGTACTGGGAGACGTTTTTCTAAAATTGAAATAAAATATTGTTCTCTATTATTTGAGATTTTGCTAATTCTCCCTTTTTCCTTATGATTTGTAACATAATGTCTAATTTTCAGGTATCTGTAAAAATCATTTGAGGGGAGGTTAAATTGTTCCTGAAGTTGTGTTGATCAGTGTATTTATAACGAGTGATAAACAGCAGGACAGCCTCACCTCCATGTGACCAAATGTCTGCACGAGTGGAATCACCTCCATGCCCTTAGATCTGGCAAACTCCTGCATAGACAACACTTCCTCTCGGCTAAAAACACAGCATACAGCAATGAGCATTCTTCGTGATAATTTTTATGGCACACCAGACTTGCACATGAAGCATTATCTGCATCCAACACAGGAAGGATTATAACTATATTACAGGATCTCACAACCTGATAAGACGGATAAGAAAAAGCACACAGATCTGCACACATGGGAAAGAAATTGAAACATGATCAGGTGTTGTGTTGCACCTGTAAGCCGGGTGTGCTGTCGCCTGCAGCAGCTTCAGCTCCCCCTCATAAGGAAACACATCCTCATACTCCACCAGCAGGCCGTCCACACCCAGCTGAGAGAAGAGCTCGATCAGCTGAGGAGGTGCATTAGCGGACAGCACATATCAATAACTGAACGGTGTAAATACACATGCTTCAGCAGATCACAGAGGAGGCTTTACCCTGTGCAGGTATTCAACTCGTGGAGGGGCACCTTTTAAATCCAGGTGAACCAGCTTCTTTCCTTTAGGCCAGGGGGGATACTTCATCCTGTTGATACATAGATCTCACTGTAACAACAGCAGCAACAGGTGTATCTGCGTTTGTGAAGAGGCATCTTTAGTTTGACTCACCTGCACAGTGGATATCGATCTGCCGCACGAAAACGCCTATTTTTAATACAAATACGCAGCCGAGGTAGTCGAATAATTTAGCGGATAGTGGAACGCTACATGCTAAGTGTTAAAACTTTAAAAGTGTAGTTAAAGACAAAAGCAACACGCAAGGGCAGCAGGCTTTAGCTGCCTGCCTTGTAGCCTAGCTGTGTTTTCGCAGCTGTAGTGCAACCGGATTGGGCTCAGACGTGGTCCAATGAAAACGGCGCTTTCTCTTCCAGGGAGCCAATCGGCTTTGAGGATACGCGGCAACCAGGAAGTTGAGCTCTTCAGGTGGTGGTACAAGCAGTTGGCGCGGCGTGCGGCATGTCCAGTCACAGCCGGGAGTCAGTGTAGCTTCTAAATGCTACGGCGCAGATGCTGTGAGGTGAAATGGCTCTTCTCCGACTGAGAAACGCCAAGGGTTCGAACGCCTCGGAGATAGAGAGGAAAATCAAAAGGTAGGCTAATGAAACCGTGCTAATGTCCAACCTGTGCACAGCTGGACGGGGTGAGAGGAGACATGTAGCAGCCAGCTGGTGCCAGCCTGCACGATCAGCTAGTGTTAAACTAATACTGTAAATACAGGTGTACACGTAGGCCTCTGGGTGAACGAATGCATGCCACAGCTACAGTTGGGCTGTTGTTGTAAATGTATCTTTGTGTTTCCAGCTTCATTCACAACAATAGAAACAATGTATACACGAATGTTGCCAAAATAAAATAATTTAGCCACAGTTTATTTGTTACTGAAATAAGAAGTAAATGCATTTTGGCATTTAACTAGAACATTAAAATAAGAAATGGCTTCAATTTCTTTCTTTCTACATTTCTGCTGTTCTTCAGTAATTTCTGCATCTACACATTATTTGACAGGAACATTAATTAGTTGCAGCCCTGTACAGACAATTTCACATGACATGGTTGAGGTTACATTTTAACTCTGCTTTCAGATTTTCCTAACATTTATGACTAGGCTCCCAGATAGTCCACTTTGTAGCTTGCAAGAATTAGGGTATTTCCACAAGATGATTTGATTAACTCTATTTGGGAAGAATGAATCATTCTAAAAAGATTAGGAAATTCTGCGAAGTAATATTAAAATGATAGATGAAGCAATATGGAACATTATGTGATGTAACAATGACAAAGGTAAAAAAAACAACTGCTTTTGATGGCGTTCAGATCTGGTGTTGCACTCACCTTGCAGAGTTTTGTGGTGCTGATTTAGATGGTCAAATTACTTGCGTTGCCTTGTGTAGTGGCAACAACTGCAAGACATTGCTGACAGAGCAGCTGTTTTTGGTCAACATCACCTTTTCTGAAGTTCAGATAATCCCATGTATTTGACATTGTGTGTCTGTTTGCAACCAAATCTTCCTTTTCAGTGTTTCTTTCCTGTTCTTTTTTCATTTTGCTGTGAACATGTGGAGCCTGCAAGGCAACAAACTGTTTGTTTTGTGAATAAAGTCATAAAGAAAACACTCCAGAAGTAGAAGATGTTCCATCAGACCAATTCTTCCTGTAGATTAGAAAGTGCAAACTGTGCAAGAAGTCTTTTTGTCTCAAGCAGCAAAAAAATTTTAGCATGATTTGTTTGAGGTAGTTTGCCTTACTTTACATTGGACTTTCGGTGATTTGACTATTGTGCATGCACACGTCACAATGCAGCTGTGTGCAGCCCAATAGTACACACAACAATCCTCTCTGAGTTAAGTTGTAAGACTTTAAACTCGTGTATTGCCATGTAGAGGGCATGAAACCTACTCAGTCATTTATCAAACAACTAAAACACATGTTGTGATCTGTTAATGTTTAAGAGTTCTTGGATACATACATTTTCTAAAACATTATTTTAGTAGTTTGTTGACATGCAGGCTTCAGATGTGCACAGCAAAAGGAGCGAGGAACCAGAGGGTAATGCTGAAAAGGGGCAAAAAGAAATGAGCATCAGCTGTATAGAAACATACTGGACGCAGAGAAGATGATGTTGACCCAAAACAGGAAGTTTGTTGACAGTGTCTTGCAGTTCTTGCTGCTACACAACGCAAGACAACTAATTTGTTTGACCATTTAAATCAGTAGGACAAAACTCTGAATGATGAGTGCACAACCAGATTTGAATGCCATCCAAAGCAAAACATGAATTTGGATAACTTTACCAGTGTTACACAATATGAGAAAGGCTCCAAATGGCTCTACTTCAGCTTTTTAAAACTAATTTTATATTTTCATGCTGATGCAGTCCCTTACATAATGACCCAGTTATTCTAGAATAATGAATTCTTTACAAATGGAGTTGTTCAAGTAACCTGATAAAAAAAAAAAAATATCCTATAGTTTTTCATATAGCAACTGTCTTTTTGTGTTAATATTGTGTAGCTCTTGTGTGTACTGTCAAGGTGGTGGTTTGTTTTTTTTAATGACTTTATGAATAAACTTACTAAAGATCGCACAATTTGCTGGCCCATTTTAAAATTTTCAACCTCAGCACAAATAATTGGATGTTTTGTTATCCAAGTTTGATTTTAGACCACAAGTTTTCATGTATCCCTAACCTGTGCGCTGGTTTAGCAAATGCTTAAAAAATGAGAACAGAAAAGCTTATGATGCCAATTCTTCATTTTAGCACAGCTTGGATGTCCTGTCAGTCAAACTCAGTTGATTAAGTGAACCTTTCGTCTGTCTTGGTCAGGGGTAATGCACTGAGGCAGGGATCTTCGTGGCGGGGGTCTCGTGGGCTCGTGGCCTTGCTGCTGGTTGCCTTGTCAGCATGTGTGGTGGCCATGTGGTTGTATGTGACCTCTCTGGACAGCGATATCACAGAAACTCTGGTCAGCCAGAGGGAGCTGGTCTCTCCTCAGCCCAGAGTCTACAGCGTCCAGTGCTCTGAGGACTACGAGAACTACAAACGTTACCCAGGTGAGACTCTGATCTTTACACTGCACTGTGTCACGCAATCAGCTGACGTCTGTCTGCTGTGTAAACACGACTGGAATAGGGTAAATCCACACCCACTTGATAACTAACTTGTTTATCCAGTGGCATATTGGAAAAAATAAAATGAAACTCAATGGGGAAAGTGTTATACTGTGCATTTTTGTAAAATAATGTTTTAAAAAACACATTTTTTCTCATTCCTGGAGCAGCTCTACTGTGAAACAGCACAGATTAGTCCACTAGATGGCGATGTAGCACAACTATACTTGAGCATAATCTTGTACTACAGGAGTACATGTTTCAACAGGGGTTCCACTGAATGAATGGCTGCAACAACCAGAGCAATGTGTGGAAGCATATGCTTTCAGTGTGTGCACTGAAAATTCAAGGCAAAAAACCCCAAAAACATGAAGAGACGTAAAACACAACTCCAACCCCTCTTTTCGTACAGCACCTATAAAGGAAAATTGCAGCCCTCATTATTTTGGGTTTGTTCCTGGGTAGCTGTGCTCTAGCTGGTTGCCTTTTGTAAAAAATGCAATTGGCAATCAACATCCCTGGACTTTGGAATTACTGAGCCACAGTTTGAAAACAATTGTCACTTGAACAGAGGTAATGAGGGTGAGCAGTGCAGCAGTAAGTCATTATTTTCAACATTGATTATTCTATTAAGTCTAAGGACGTAAAGAAAAACAGATAACAAAGGTGATATTTAATTTACAAGACAAAAACGCAGCAAATCCTCAAAAACAAGATGTTAGAACCGGTGAATGTTTGACATTTTTGCTTGAAAAATGCACAAATGATTAATCTATGTCTAAATAATTATTATACTCTCCCTTGCCAAACCATTTCAGTGGCAGTGCAGGTGAGCAGGCAGTCACAGTCAGATGGCTGATAGATGAAAGAAGCAGATTTCAAGTTCTCTAATCATTGTACTATTTATTCACAACTTGTTCCATCCATTATCTATACACCGCTTAATCCTCACTTGGATCACAGCGGGGCTGGAGTCTATCCCAGCTGACTCAGGGCGAAGGCAGGGGACACCCTGGACAGGTCACCAGTCTATCACAGGGCTACACTTAGAGACAGACAACCAAGCACACTCACAGTCACACCTACGGACAATTTAGAATCACCAATTAACCTCAACATGTTTTTGGACTGTGGGAGGAAGCCGGAGAACTCGGAGAGAACCCACGCTGCACGGGGAGAACAAGATCCCAGGTGTCCTCACCGGGACACAAACTGGGGACATTTTGTGAGGCGCAATGTTACCCACTGAACCACTGTGTAGCCCCAACTTGTTCCACATGTGTAAAAGAAGAATTCTTTCTAGTGTGTATACACTGGCCAGCCACAACATTATATGTTAATTTATAACTTATTCTACCACTAGCTGGGCCTCGATTTAAATGTAGCACACTTTTTAATACAATTTTAAGGAAGTGTGCAAAAGACATACTACATGTAAATTAAATATACCAAATGGCCCAAAAATTAATTATTGCAATACTACCACCCTGTTAAAAGCACTCAGGAATGCCAAGAGGAAAAGAAAAAGAGCTCCAGGCATTAACTTGGTGTCCAAACCCCTCAGATCCTAATTTGATCAAGCATCTGTAGGGTGTACAAGAACGAGCCCAGTCCATAGTGGCCTCACTCTGCAACCCATAGGACCAAGATAATCCGCTGCCAATGTCCCAGTGTTAGACACTATAGCAGACCCACAGAGATCCCCTGTCTATGGGTCAGAACTGTTAAGAATAGAATTAGAATTAGAATAAAACTTTATTAATCCCTTCGGTACAAGACCTCAGGGAAATTGCTAAAGTGTCACTAAGGGGGCCTACATGATGTTAGGCAGGTCGTTTTAATGTTGTGCGTATCTTTGGATCAGCGTATCTTTCATTTTGTTGCCATATTGCACCCAAAGCATCACTGACTCTCTAGAACTCCAATCACACTACTTTAATGCCGACACTTACACATTTTTGAGATAAAGCTGTCTGCCTTATCTGCTGTGAAATACATTAAGAGCAGTTTAGAGCTCTTCCTTGGCAGAAAGGAGAGTACAAACTCAAAATTTGTCTTCTTAAACACAAGATTCTGCCACAAGTCAAACTGTGCATCTCCAGTGTCTAAAGAAAACACAGTGGGAGGTTTAGACTATGAACAATAAATTATAATTATCAGGAAGTTGGAGGGGAGCCCTGAATTGGGTGCCTTTAATGCACAGTAAACTTTTTGCACTCCTTGTTGCTGGATTAGCCTCTCTCTCTCTCTCTTTCTCTGCTGTGGGGCCAAGAGGATGTTGTACCAAGATACTGCTGTTCTCAAAATCCTCTCCTGCACTTTGTCTGTCCTAGGATGCACCCCTCAGAAGTGTGGCCGTGCTGTCACAGACGCCGTGGTGACGAGGGAGGAGGCTCAGGTCCTCAGGAGGTAAACGCTGTCATGCTCAGCACAATGTGTCTCATCTCCTTCTCAGCGTTTTACCTCGTTGTTTTCCCATTTATCATCTTCATGTTTGGACAGTACGGTTGAATTATTCTCAGTGTTTTCTGTCTCTGACACACAGACTGGCTGAGAGGGGGCTGGCGCTGGCTGGGTCAGAAGGAGGAGTAAGTATACCACCGAATAAAACAGTTGGAATAACATTACAGTGAAGCAGGGATTAGCTGACTGTCTTTTAGTTAGTTAATTCTCCATACATGAATTTATAAGAGCCTCACTAGGCAGTGCTGCAGACCTATTAGAAATTTTTGCTGACCGTTTTTCCACAGCACAGCATAATTTAAGAATGACCTTTTAAGTTGACGTCAGTACTTAATGAAAGTAGACTTGCAGAAAGTTAAGATTCCTGCAACATGTAGCTAACAGAACATGCATTTATTTGTGGTAGTGTTGTATCGCAATCTCCTTTGTGGTGCATTCCAGAACACTTTAACATCTGAGACTGATTTATGGTTTCATTAGGCATCTTACACCCATATGGACTAACGAGACCCTTAAAGGTGCAATATTCAAGATTTTAAACTTAAATGTTACAGTAGAATAGCCACAAACACCTGTTTACTATGTAAAGGTACAGTAGAGTAATGGCATCCTTAGTGTAACTTGTGTGTTGTCATCTGTTGTCATCTTGTTTTTGGCACTCAGACTAAGGCTTCACCCGAATAGCCGACTATTCGTTCGCTGTGCTGTAATCGGGATATCAATTTTGATCTCCGAATATTCCCCCAGGGGTCATAAATTAAAACATCTGCTCCTGGCTGTGTGTAATCCTGGCTACTACCAGCTAAACAGCTGGATGATGTATGTTGGATGGTGTCAAAATATGTAGATGAATAATATACAGTCTAAAAAAAACAGTCCTTATGTTCTTTGTTCATTAAAAAACAAACAAACAAACAAACAAACATGTCCCTCATGCATTTTTTTTTTACAGACTTTGGCAGAAAAGTTCACAATCAAATATATTTGTACCACAAGTAAGGAAAATATTACCACTAGGAGCCTGGATTTATCCAAATGTCCAACACATACAGTGTGCTCCATATTTTTCAGATTCCCTGCTGTGATGCACCCTCTGTGCACTAGAGGGCAGGCTCATACAGTAGCTTGATGAGATGCTCTGAAAGGTAAAACAGGCCGTCATGTTCCTGTCCGGAGATGTCTGGATATCCCTGACATGCCTTAATAATGCTCTCCCTCCCAATTGGGCCTGGTCTTCAGCCAATAAAGGAACTGTTTATGGAGTGTTAAGACACTTCAATGAACGGGGGGTGGGAAGCAACAGGGAGACTTCTCAGAAAATGACTTCTTTTCAGCACCGTGTCCCAAAGGAGCTGACGAACAATAACAAGTAAAGGGCAAAGAAAGAACAGCACAAAAAGGCCACCAAGGGACCAGCGCTGAACCTTGGAACGATCACTGTGCCACGCGTGCACCAGTGTGCATCAGCAACTTATTTGTTCCGTTTATTTGTCATTTGCACTAATTCCTGTTTTTCCCCTTTGCTCGCTGCAGGCCTCCATACTGGACCTGCACTCTGGGGCGCTGTCAATGGGAAAACAATTTGTCAACATCTACAGGTGGGAAAGTACACCTTGTTTTTATTTGTTCTTCTCTGTCTACTCTATTTTTATTGCCCGTGCCTGCGGGAATGCAATCCAACATGATATGTAACATTTGCAGAAATATATTCACCAGAATATGGAGTTTAGTCATCAATCTTACTAATGCCGGTCTTTGTGAGCTGTCTTCTCCAGGTCCAGTGACCCGTTCGACCCTCATTCATCACAGTCAGCAGAACCCAGTTTTATTTGGATCGTCTGCTCCCCTCTATCACTCTCCCTTTTTAATGCCTCCTCTTCATTCATTCTCTGCCTCGGTTTGCTCCCGTCTCTTTCTCTCTCTTTCATCCCATTGGGTAGGTGGCTGATGCTGGATCCTCGGGGACCATCATGCTGATTTTAATCAGGAAGTGGTACTCCCACCCAATTTCCCAACCTTCACCCTCCCCTCCGCTGGGACCTGACTTGTGTGAAGCAGTCAGATGTTTAGAATCCGGATGTTTGGGTGGTATACCCATGTGGGTAATGGTGCACTGTGCTGTGCCGCAAAACGTTAATTTATTCTAATAGATCCCTTCTCCTCTGCTCTCTCCCCCCTTCCTCTGCTGTTTGTGTCTGCGTGCTCATGTGTCTCTGATTGGCTGTGTCTGAACTGTCTGTCTGTGATCGTGGATGTGGCGGCAGGTATTTTGGGGATCAGGTCAGGGATGTGTTCACACAAGAAGACTTCCAACTTTACAGGTGATTAAAGAACCTTAATTGAAAATCATCTGTGCGTGTATTGCAAATTCGTAGAATTCTGCTCCTGAATGAGAAAACTTATATTCCTTTGAAAGATGGCATACACTCAAATGATGGTACACAAACATAATTCCTCATTAAAATGCATTTAGTAGCCTTCTCTTGTGTTTGAAATGGATCAATATCTTGCAGTGACATTGTTAGTCTACCAAACAGATGTATGGATTTTTGCATTACACCTATTCAAATGTCCTTCTCCACATTATATATGTTATTGATTATTAAATGTAGCATAAAAACATCAAAGCACCACATGAAACAATGCTGAATATTGTCGTGAACCATTTGGTATTGTTGGTTGTAGCACAAACATGTGCTGATAAAGCCCAAGCTGCTGAACTGCAGTTGGGACATTGTCGTGACTGCGTTGATGTGACATTACTGTCTGACAGTGTGTCATAAGTTACACTGCTTGAAAGACACCCTGACACGTTGTGTGTTTTTTGCTGTCAGAAATGTTCGTGGGAGAATCCAGGCGGTTATCGCTGAGACGTTTGGTTTGAACCCAACACTGATGTACCTCACCAAGCCCACCTTCTTCTCCAGAATCAACAGCACGGCAGCCCAGACCCAACATGACGAGTACTGGCACCCGCACATTGACAAGGTGACGCACAAAAACAGAGCCAGGGCTTGTTCTTTGTGTTTGTGTAGCGCGTGACCTGTAACCTGTATAGTCCTGAGTTTTAGTAAAGGCACTGGAAACCCCCCAAAAAATCAATCGGTGCATCCCTAATGACCAAGATGTAATCTGCTCCCGATAAATGGGCTGATGGAAGTCATCTTGATATCTTCAATGGATTGGCTGAACCTGAAAGCGAATTTCCTGGCGTAGCAGTCAATCTACCTCCAACCTTCACCTAAGTCCATGAAGTTTGGGCAGTGACGGAAGGAATTCGATTTCAGATACAAGCTGCGGAAATGAGTTTTTGCGGGGTGGCTGGGTTCACTTGTAGATGTAGATTGAGAAGAGGGTGGGGAGGAGTGCGCTTCTGTGCAGTAACGGATTGGATCTCCTCAGATTTCCCTCAAAAATGCTGCATGGTTCTTTTTTTTAATATATTTTATTACATGTTACGAATTCCTGCTGTCTTGTGATTGGCTCGGTGTTTTTATCTGTCAAGTAAAGAAGTCAGCTCGTCTTGACTTGATAATAGCTGCCATCAATACCCAGAGGGCTGAACCGTTAAGCAAAGTTAGCACACTTTTGTAAGATGACGGAAATTTATTGAAGCACTCTTATCCACCTTTCAAAAGGAGCCCTGGAAGGATATTAACAAAACACTTTTGGGTTGTGGCTCACTGAATTATGAGGCTAGAAACTGCAGAGAGCCACAGGTAGACTGGAGCCTCCCGAAGGCCGAAGTCAACGATGGGGATCCACACATGCAGGATAAACAGAATTGTTTTCCCTGAGTTAAAGAGCAGAAAACATAGCCCTGTGGGTTTTGGGTCTTCTCTCTTTCCAGTCAAGATCTATTTCGTCTGCAGATGTGTGATGTGTGTAGTGCGTTGCAGTAGAAGCACGTTTTTCTCATTTTTTAGTAAGATGTAGTCTTCATTATACACATTGTGCCATAAGCTTTTAATCCATAATATGTCAAAACGAATAGGATTTACAGTTTTGCATTTATTAGGGAAATCCTGAGGGAGAACTAAATTACATTATTTAGCGACAATTTTGCCATTTTTGATCCTCTTATTATTAAAGATGTCACAGTAAAAGCCTTAACCTGGTTTAAAACTCATATTCATCTTTGTGTAAATGCTGTTTCATTCATGAAGCCAAAAAAAAAAAACCTAAATCCATCCAGATTACATGAGACCAGGTCATCAATCAAGGACCTAATGTATGAACTAAGAAGCCAGTCGGACATATCAAGACTTTCTCTGTGTTAGCTGGCTCAACAAAACCTCCAATCACAGATATAATGGGTATCAATACCATCTTCTTCAGACTTTAGGCGTGCTCCCATTTAAAGGGGCTGTTTGACTTGTCATCTGCACAAAATGAACTGATCGCATGCACCTACTTCAGTCAGGAGGAACGGGATGTTACAGTCTGGTTGCAATACAGAGCTATGAAGAATGTGAATAAAAGATATGGCAAAAAACGTGCTGTTACTGCAAATAAGGTAAGACTGTAAATCGTGTCAGCTATTGTTTTGATTTTACCCCTCAGTGCACTCTTAACGCAGCTGCTTATTTCTAATGTCACAGTGCTGTTAAACTTTAAACCTGATACATTTCAATGCATTTAGGTCTGACACTGTCCCATACTGAACGATGTGTGGAAATCACATTCGTGTTGGGCCATATCTAAATGAAATTACCTTCATTGATTAAGTATCCTCTGTGATGGACACTTGTAGACTAATCAATTTTCTAATCTGTGTTCGATTAGTTGCTGTAGCAGAAGTGTAAAATTAAGACCAAGCATAAAACATAGGCCTTATTCATGCATTTTCTGCATCACCAACTGAATGCATGAGGGGTTTTGTGGCAACCCTGTAGCTGCATGACTTCTTTCAGGTTTAAAGAGCACCACCTCTCTTTAAACCTTTTTAAACTTTGGCTTTAGGTTCGGTGTACACAGCTAACCACGCTCTTGCTGTATAGTGTTGCTGTATTTATCTAGTACTGGTTGACATGATCTGGATGGGAAAAAGGCAAAAAGAATCTGTGAAATGGCCCTTTTTGTATTTTGTTTATGTTCAGTACTGCAAATTTCATGTGTCATTCAATTTTTTAGCTCCAAATACAGCAAAGATGGTTCATTTTACCATGACTGTTTAACCCTGGGTTTCAGTGCTGTTCTAAATGGGCTGCTTTACTCTGAAAACCAGTGATCTCCTGCTGGCCACACCTCCTTCAGGAAGAAAACACTCACTGTATCTTTGATTGGACGTACAGACAAAAACTTGACTGCACAGGTGCTCACACCAGGAGACTTAGACTTTCTATTTCCTCCAACTGTCTCTCTGGTTGATGATTCGACATGGAAACATTACAAAATGTACAGCACATCTGTTGTTTTTAACTCATATGTGATGAGTTTCTCTTTTTCTGTGGTTATAAAATAAAACAAGTAGGGGGGTAAAAAAGGTTTTACTGGTGCATAGCTACAACTTGAGTAATAGCTGTGAAGTGACTGCAGGTTAACAACAGTGTTAATGGGATGTGTTTCAGTCATTACATACTTGTTCTGTTGTCTGACAAGATAAAACTGAAACATCTGTAAAAGCCATAATGGGAATTTGGCTGCTTTACATTTCAGTATGTGTGAGCACAGAGAGCAGGAGAGATGCAAATAGACTGCACTGAAGTACAACAGTCAACATGGAAACACAGTAACCCAGTCCTTTTTTATTTGTTTCAAATCTAACTTGAAGTTTCCACCATCTATGGATGTCCCTCAGCATTACAGTTTCCACAGAGCTCTGAACTGTGTGGCTATGATCAAAGCTAAAGGTAATATTAGCCACACGAGCAGCACAATGTGATGACAAGATGAATTTTTCTATTTTTGTGGGGACATTGCCATCAGAATAAAAGAAATCTGTTCCCCAGATGCTGGGAGTGCACGAACACTTGTGTGTTCACTCTAGCAGCCAACAGCAGAACATTAGGTTTGCTTTGCTGTAGCTGAGACATTTTGCGGTTAACAGAGGCAGCTCTAGCAAGTCATAAAACTTGGTGGACTGCAAGGCAGCTGCTCCTTCTCAATGACTCACCTGGCTTGCAGCGGGGAGGTAGACGCAGGGATACTTGAAGTTTGAGCTGGACGGCTGATGGTTAGTTAGGTGTTAGATAGCACCTGGGTCAAGTTATTATCTGCCTGTAAAGCTGGGAGTCTGGAATTAACTTTTTTATATCTTAACAGCTTTGACTTTACACCTCCGAGTTTATAAAAGCCACAAGATTTTCACCATATGCGACCTCTGAACAGGAAGTGGAGTCTATTTAGTCAAGTCCAGGTTTAATAAGGGGGAATGTTTTCATCATTAAAACAATAGATTAAATAAACATGAAAGTGGGCTTATCTGAAATATCTTAACACATTTGATAAAAATGAGATTTTTGAGTGAAAAGAAAAGCTCAGGTGTTGTTTTTGTCTGATCAGAGAGTCATAGATTGACATGAACAGTGCTGTGTGAATGTTTTAGGTACCAAAAGTACCATGAAGATGTTTTCAAAACTATTACTGTGAATAGTTTCATACAAGGTTCAGCAAACAGACAGAGCACATTTGCTCAGAGTCCTTGCCTTTCAGAAAGCATAGAATTTTTCAAGGTTCTTGACAAGTTGTTTAATTTGCCTCAGTTCTTCTGTGGATTCAGGCTGTCTGAAGGTCTTCTGCCGGTTCATCTAATCCCAGACAGACTCCATGGGGCTCACGCCATCTGTTGCAGTCTTCCTTGTTCTTTTTGTGGAAGACGGAATTGGTCTTTATGACTTTAACCGGATGTTTGGGCACATTGTAATTGAGCAGGATCATTTTGGGTGAGATCAGACACTTTCAGGCATCTAAAGTTCCTAAAGTTTTTTGCACCATACTGAATGTTTTAAAGGTAACTTCCACATACAGGAATTTGCTCGTCTAGGTCATGACATCCGTCGGTCTTGTTGGCCTTGTGTCACAAAAAAAGTCCTGGAAAATAATTTCTTGAAGAGTGAGAACCCTGCTGTTCTAATATTTGTAAGTAGTGTTAAATATATCCTTGACTTTAGCCTGCTGCCAGCGGGACTCCAAACCAGATCAGCAGCTGAAAATGGATGGATGCATTTTGATCTTCTTCAAAATGTTACCTTGAAATGAATTTTAGATTCTTTGCTTGAAGGCTGATCTTTTAAAATTGGATGTCTAGTCAGTTTAGTGAATTAAAACCACAGAGACAATCTCTAAGAACATACATATCAACTCGTGTTTCTCTCACATTCACTCTTACATCAGTTCAGATTTGTTCTACTGCAAGTGTTATGTTTTGCTGCATCAGCAAATAGTGTTGGATAATTTCCTAAAATAAGTGGTAATCCCCTTCCAGACTGTTTCTTAATTTCCTGTAGCCCATACCTTTGTGCTGTTATGTAAACTATTCACGCTATACATCGTTCCGTCTTTATAAATATTCATGAAGTGAAGCTTTAAAACTCACTGCTTTAATCTTAGTCTTTCATTCTACTCTTTAGTCGTTGTCATGAGACGTTAGCTGCTCTGGGACTGAGAGAAGACCTTGAGGCAAGTTCAACAAACAAGAGTCTTGTTTGGGGAGAAAACGCTTCACTGATTTACAACTTAATTAGTTAGAATTGAAAGCGTGATTATGGATAACTCCTGAAAGGATTGGCATTCTGTTTTAGGTTATTTCTTCGAGTGTTGCTATCAAAAAAGCTGATAAAAATGCATCATTGCAATTTAGCGGAATCCAGCTGACATGTCGATGTTGGAAACTTTACGACTGGACACGTTATTTATTGGCATCATTCATAAAACTGTTGAAGCATCTGTCTCAGTATTGATCTACAGTCGCCTCTTGATAAGTGATGAAAAAGGCAAGTGGAATGGGGGACAGTACACGTTTATCTTGCATGTGGTGTTTCTGGAACGTATTTCTTGTTTGCTGTCACTTTATCCTCTGTGTTCAATAACATCTCATATGGGTTTTGCGGCCATATTAATATTTGTCACCTCATCCTTTCCCGCTGGCCCTCGACAGCTGGGAAAATTTAATCAGAAAAGAGCCACTTCTCTCCCCCCATCTGTCTCTGCCGCCATTTTTGGGCTAATTGGCTAACCCAACCCTCATTTAAATGTAAATGGCCTTTGACGTCGTTGGTGGTGAATTTTCCTCCCATCGATCAAATCACTGATACGGTGTCATAGCAGCAGTTGTAGTGTGTCAGCTTGGAAAGTGTGTTTGATCTCATTCACGGCAGACATGGCTACGTGATGAAAGTGAATTATAGGTGTAGAAACTAATGTAGTATTTTCATTCCTGACCTTGCCTTGTCTTTCTGCTCAAGCAAAGCTATACACACAAACTTGCCAATATAGTAATAGCCTCACTCTTCCATTTGAAGTGCCTGACTTAAATCACTATTTGAATCAGATTCTAGACACATGAAAGAAGTGATTTCAGAGACGGTAGACAAAAACCTGCCTCTTAGGGTAAAAAATATCGGAGAAGACCATATGTATATATCCATGACACTACAGCATTTCAGGACTCCAGCCACATTATTCCTCAAGTTAAAGCACTTCAGACAAGAAAACTATGCAAAAATGGACATGACCCCACCGCTCTATAAGAAGCTTTAACACAAAAACTAATGTAAACTGTGACCCTAGATTTTACAAATGGTCAACTCAATTAATATTTACCACTTGGAAAAAAATTAGGCAACACATTTTTCCCAAAGTTAACATGTATATCATTGACTGTCAAAAGTGTTTGTCCACTACGGACATTCAAAATGTTCAAACAGGGAGCGAGAGCACCAGCAACCCTTTGATTGTTTGCACAGTAAGGAGGGCGAGTTTTTGCCTTGGAAATGTCCATATGTTTCTTTTAACCAAAATTCTTGTGTCAGGATATACTTTGGAAGATTCTAAAGATGAGGCATGACACGGTTTCATCTTAGTTGACATGGATTTTTTTTTTTTAAGGGGAAAATTTAAGGATATGTATACAACAGTGTGTATTGTGTACATAATACATGCCAGGTCAGCGTACATACAAAGAGAACCACTGATCATCACATCCACAGACTAAGACAAACAGTTACACTTATTGATGGTATTTATGTCATACAAATATCACAGGTAATGTGCTAGTAGAGTTACCTTCTCAATTGCAGTCCTTTGAGCTTGCAGATCCTGAATTCCACATATACCACTTTGTCTAAGAAGGGAAATGACCAAACAGCATGTGACCTCATGTTTCACCTACACCTTGTGTTTGGTCAGTTAACTTACCATCAGTGATTACAGGCACATTTTTAACATGATCAGATCGAGGTGCCATGCGCTCTGCTAACCTCCTTGGCCTCATTATTACTGCCTCCAGCTATATTAGTAATAAATACTTCTGTAAAGTGAAAAGTTTTCCATTGAAATTGTAGAACTCAACTAGAAACACTTGTGAGTGCTCTGTGAAGCTTGGCGCTTTGAAGTTGCTGAAGCGATTCTTGAAACTCTCTGCAATATACTTTGTCTTTCTTTGAGGTACCATCAAGCAAGATACTCTGTGCCTAAAACGACTTTGGCTTTTAAGGAGGCCACTCTTGGTTTCCTGTCAGCGCATTCTTTGATGTTTCATTAAGGCCCTGCGATGCATGTTCGAGCTCAGTGAGCCTTCATGGATCTGAGCATCTCTTGTTTGTGCTGTTGTAAGTTGAGCAGCAAAGAAACAAGCCACAGTTCACTTTGCATGAATGAATTTTGCCATATCTTAAGGTGGAGCTTCACACTGCAGACATTTCATATATCCCTTTGGCTTGTATTTAATTAATCTCAAAGGTTTGATGAGGAGGGTGGTTGGAGTGAGGAGTCAGGTGATCTGAAGAGAGAGCAAAGTCAAATAGCAAGGAAGTTCATGCATCGTAGACTGTGTTGTTTTCTGTGTGGGTAAATGCACATTGTTGGTGCCCTAACAGCCCTCTCATCATTATTTTCCATTCCTCTTTGTCATGCACATCTGACGGAACAGATACATTCCTATTTCAATCAATCCAGCTGACTACAAAGACAATACTTTTTTACTTCAAGTCTATCTTATCGCATTCTGTGCCTAACTAGTGAATATGTATTGAATTTTCAGGGCTTCCAAACTGCGGGTGCCCCATAGCTCAATACTGCGCCTGAACGCCTCCTGTGTGGACGCATGCAGAGCAACAGAGCTGCTGCTGCTACTATGCAGACATGGCCTTTAAGTAGGCATGGCTTAACAGTAGGAAGAATAAAGCATCTGGGGGCATGCTGCGTCATGATCATGCATCATTTACGTGCAATCTGCTTTTTGGTTCCCCATTTTTTTTTGTGTGTGTGTGTGAAATATGACCCTGCACTGCAAAAGCTTTTTGGAACTTTTGAAATTGGTGTCAGGGTACGATAACATGCTTTAATTTGGAAGATCAAAAGTCGGAGTGAAAGTAAATTTGGTTCACAGTAGTTTACAGGAGACATAGTTAAACCAGTAGTTTAGAATTTATTGTACTGTTGGAGCACTTGAGAAAAGGAATTTAAAAACAGTCACACATACACTGAGAGATGCTGATTTTTCGTCTCTAGTATGGGTCAACCTCCAAGATGACCCCTGAGTGGAACCATTTTTATCAGGTGACTACGTGGCTCTGTCTGTGTGTGTCTGTGGGTGGCCTGCCCTGTTACATGCAATCAGTCTGTTTTTAAACTGAGGCAAGTCTGACATGAGAATCCTTATTTTGCTCTGGTCATACTATTTTTTGCCACATACCTAGCTGAGCTGCTGGTATTGCAATACCTAAGAGAGGATTAGAGGCTTCACTGTGCACAGCCAGTGAGCAGCTCCTGATCAGTGTAAGGCATTTAAACTAGGGATGCACGATATATTGACAACCACATCAGTATCGGCCGTTATTAGTGTTTTTTCCAATATATTGGTATCGGGCTGATGAACAAATTTAGTCAATGTGAAAAACTGATGATTGCATAACATTAGCGCCTTCGTCTCCACATTTGATATTGCTGCTATTTCACTGATGTCTTTACGTAAATGGTCCTGGACTATGTTTTACTTTTATTACGTAATAAAGAATACTGACTCTGTGATCGAGTTTGGTATGGGCTTCTTTTGAATACTTTTCACGTCCTCACAGTGCCTACTTATACAAATTTTTTGGTGTTATCAAAAATTGAATATCGACATTGGTAGTGGGCTGCAAGGTGGCGCAGTTGGTAGCACTGTTGCCTCGCAGCAAGAAGGTTGCCGGTTCGCGTCCCGGTGGGGGCACTGGAATCTTTCTGCGTGGAGTTTGCATGTTCTCCCCGTGCAGCGTGGGTTCTCTCCGGGTTCTCCGGCTTCCTCCCACACAGTCCAAAAACATGTTGAGGTTAATTGGTGATTGTAAAATTGTCCGTAGGTGTGAGTGTGCTTGGTTGTCTGTCTCTAAGTGTGGCCCTGCGATGGACTGGCGACCTGTCCAGGGTGTCCCCTGCCTTCGCCCTAAGTCGGCTGGGATAGGCTCCAGCCCCCCCGCGACCCCAATGAGGATTAAGCGGTGTATAGAAAATGGATGGATGGATATCCGAAATCTTAATGTCGGATATTGGTATCAGCCAGAAATTTTAATCGTGCATCACTAATTTAAAGAATATTGATATATTGTAATGTCTACTGATGAATGTAACATCTACTGACAGTCTGCATGTGAGATATTTCGAGGACCTCTGTAAATTTTACCTTCAGAAAACATCTCGGGTTACACTCTGCATGCACATTGGTCAGCATTGGTCACAGCGAGCCACCCACCACCACCACATGTAAATTCTCAACCTGTGGGAAACACTGAGATACGACAAAACGGCCAGCACGCTTCATTCTATCTGCTGTAATAAGTGTGGCTGAAGCATGGCTGGGAGCAAAGGTTTTTGCTCCAAATTGAAATATTAAAATTGCACGTTGTCTCAGAGAAATTACAGACGGGTGGCCAGCAGAGCAGCCACCTTACTGGACCATTTCAGCAGCAGGCAGCCGCAAACGGAAGCAGTGAAGTGTCAAATGTGACAGTAATATTTGGCTTTAACATAGCCCAAGAAGAGCTACAATTTACAACTTTTTCAAGATTGTTCTTATGAAAAACAATGAATAAAATATACCAAAACATTTATCTACAGCTTAATTCCTGCTTACCCTCTTTTACATGATGTGTTAAGAAATTGTGTATATAAACTAACAAACAACGGTAATGCATTATTCAGGGAATGTCCTGATAGCTCACCTGGCTGAAATCAAAGATTATTCAACACCATAAGGCCAAACGACTCTAGTGCACCTATATTATGAGATGAGAGTGTGCCCCACTGCAACCAATGTAAAAACTCGGTCTGGAGCCTTACACAACATCACTGGTATCCTTCTTGTAATGCAACTTGATAATGTGTGGGTCTCAAGTTTCTTACCAACTCCACTCTAGAGCTTAGCAATTCAACAATAAGAAATCGAAACTCTAACTGATCAAATTTTCAGCATATCAATACGCGTGACCTTTTTGTTCTTTGACACAGACAGCCGTCCACCTCTACAGCACAACAATGGCCGAAATACACGAAGTCAGAGCCAAATGTGTGGGTTCAATTCATAACTCACGTCGTCGTCCTCTCTCACTGTCTTCCAGGTGACTTATGGATCTTTTGACTACACCTCTCTGCTGTACCTGTCTGACTACGGATCTGACTTCACTGGGGGAAGATTTGTCTTCATGGACCAAAATGGCAACAGAACAGTGGAGCCACGGGCAGGTACCCAGCAGCGATTCAACACTTAATCTGCCTAATGTAGTGCCACACAGTGCTTTTATCAACGTCACCTTCAAATAGTCGAGCTCGCCCAGCTAAATGTAAGAATATTATACTGTCCTCCATATGAGTTTAACACATTCGGCAAAGAGTCGGCTAGCTAACAGTGTGACATCCTCAAAAACCCCAAAGCGTAACTTCCCTTGTTGTCAATGAAGACTCAATTTATTTTTGTAAAACTGGAACAAAAACACAAATTGCAAACAGAAAACAGATGATAACCAATACATAAATGCAAGAATGAACTAAACTGAATAAGGTAAGTCACAACTTTCACTTACCTATAGCATATGCTTGTCTCAAAGACTAAGCCATGCAAGTCTAAGTACAAAACGGCCTGTACAGTGAAACAATGGCTCATTAAATCAGTTCTGGTTCCTTTGATCGCTCCCACGTTACTTGGATAACTGTGGCATTTCCAGAGCTAATACATGCAAAAGTAGGGCGGCTGTGGCTCAAGTTGTCCTCCAATCACAGGGTTGGCGATTCGATCCCCCCGCCCCTCCACAGTCGAAGTGCCCTTGGGCAAGACATTGAACCTGAAGTTGCTCCCAATGGCAGGCAGCATCTTGCATGGCAGCTCTGTCACCATTGGTGTATGAATGTGTGTGAATGGGTGAATGAGACACACATTGTAAAGCGCTTTGGATAGAAGCGCTATGTAAGTGCCATTTACCATTTACCTAAATTTAGGGTTTCATGAATCCTTTGTCGAAGCAAAAGCACAGCAGCTATAATTGCTGTCTGTAACTAAACAATGCCAGTCAAATGACGTAGTTAGAGGCAAGTACTGTCCGAGGCAACAACCTGGAAATAAAACGTACAGCCGAAGCAGCAGCGCTCAGCTTTGCATATCAGATTACGGAAATCCCTGCTCTGACATTACTTTTCATGAAAGAATCAGTAGGGGGCACTGCAGTACACAAAGTTCTGCTGCAGGAAAGAACAGATATGATAAATCCGGACTATCAGTTGTAACACCTGGCAAGTGCTGGCTTTGTCTCTGTAAGCCTATTAAGCCAAACTTAAAGTAAATGATGCAAGCAAGATAAAGGATTTCATTATCACAGCTGTGTTTAAAATTATAATTGCTGTAATCAGCTGCATTAGGGAGTCTGGAGGTGGTTTTAGCACGCTAAAATGTGTAGCAAGGTGGGCGTAATCCTCTGTAAGTGGGTAATCAGCAGCACAGCCGGCTGCACTGTGAAGGTGCAGGGGCTTAGGTTTTACCTCACTTCTAGTACCCAGAGGGTTAGTCATCATAACAACCTGATCTTTGAGGGAATAATGTGGTCTGTGTCTGTCAAAACTGTCCCTCTGTACATAAGGTGTAAGATACAGGTAACTCGATGAGTAAATTGATATTTTAAAGCTGCCTGTGCGAAAAGCACATTGCAAAATAGCCTATGTGAGCCATTTTAAAATGGGGGAATTGAATCAGTTCTCTGGGGAGCTTGTGGAAAATCAGGAAAGTTTCCAAGCTGGTCACTGTAAAGGAATGTGCCAGAATAAATTTGTCAACTTATTTCAGACATCCATTGATTCGGATGGTAAACTTGCATTCATTTTGCTCTACTTACTCAGCCGTTTTGACTGTGGACACTGTAGGCAAAAAGTGTTGGTCCGGTGAAGCTCAACACACATATTTACAAGTTTCTGAGCTCAAAAATAACACTGAAAATCATAGATACACTCAAAGTTGTTCAATATTACAAGAGGGCCAGAGTGGGAGAGTCTTGTAAAAGTCAAGTTAGGTTAATATAATTTATATACCATAGCTGGAAATCATTAATTAATCTCAGGGGGAATAAACGCCTGTACAAACTCTCTTTAGATGCTTATTTCAAAAACGAAAAACAGAAAAAATAAAGAGAGCAGACAGAAATGTTGACCAAATCAAGCAAATAATGAGCAAAACATTTCATATTAATTGAATATCCAGTGTAATAAGGCCTGCAGGACCGAGAATGCAACCTCAGGGCTTTCACACAGAAACTGCAAGCAGGACACTTTGCTGAGCTAAGGGTACTAATGTCAGTGCTGCAGATGTGCAGGCCACTGGAGGGCACATGAGCATTATATACTGCTGGAATTTGCATTCCACATTCAATTAAATAGAATTTTGACCCCCAAAAATGATGTCAAAGGATTAGATTTCCAGCTTAGACTGTTACATTTCAGTGTAGTCTGGTGTCTAGCTTCTCATTTATTAGTAATAGTCAGTAGGATTATGTACCATCCTTCATTCTACACATTACTTTTTTAAAGTATGTCAAAGAGCAATTATCAGCCTGGCCAACTATTGGTACCAATTTTATTTATGTATTTTACTGGCTTCAAATAAAATCAATTTAAAAATGTACTGCTTTCAATTTGATTCAGCTGCCTTTCTATATCTGTAGCCTCCACTCTGTGGGCTCAAGCAATGTCCTACTTAACCACACACTATCTGATTGGTTACATGTCACCAAGATTTTCAGTTTTACTGCAAATATATATGAGTTCCAATTATCAGTCATTGGTTTCCCTGAAAAACCATATCAGTTGAGCCCTGTTTCTAACAGGCTAATTAAAAATATCAGATAGCACCATTGCCAGCTGAAGAAAATAACATTTTTACAGTGCAGTATTTTGCTAGAAATCCTGGGTCCTGATGTGGATTTTATGTTGACACGTACCACCCACCTAAACATTGTTGCACCCCCCCATGGCTACAGTTGGCTCCAGCAGAACAATGTACCCTGCCGAATAACCAAGAAATGCTCAAACAGCTCGAGAAATATGACAAAGAGCCCAAAGTGGTGAGCCAGCCTGCAAACTCCCAAGATCCCAATCTGATCGAATATCCATGGAATTCACTAGAACAAATCTGGTCCCTGGAGGCACCCCTCCAAGGATCCACTTCTAACATCTCACTGTCAGACACCATAGGACACCCAAGTGGTCCCTTGTCCATTCCCTGATGGGTTCAGGCTATTTTTGCAGCGCAAGTGGGACCTACGTCATATTAAGCAGGTGGTTTTAATACTGTGGCAACTGCTGCCTGTTTGATCTGTGTTTTTATACCATCCCCTTATCTATCACAAGCAATCTCAAACCATGCCTGTATTACAACCACACAAAACTATGACAATAAGCTGGGTTGTGTGGACCCTAAATCCTGACTAAAAGAAGTCTGTAAATCTAAAAATGCTGGCGTGGCATGATAGCATGGAAAACAAAGCTTTGTAGGAATGCTGTCATATTTGTGACAAACCAAGAATTAAACAAAACCACCCTTTAAAGCAGTTTTGAGTATTCTGTGAGTAAACCAAAACTCAAAACCTTGTCTTGCTGAAACAGAAATAGTATACGGTTCTTTCTTTGCTGGTTTTCAGAGGCTGGTTTGCTCATGTGTCCTCTGCACATGATGAGTAGGGGTGAACTACCTGTTTAGGTGTTTTATTGTATACAGAGGTCTATGTAGGTCACTGACGGGATTATCACTGTTGAAATTTTTTATTTGTCCACCACTAAGTTAATCTCAACTCAAAAGACCTGTGTGGATTCCATTCCCCTTTGCAAGCAAATCTGCATATAGCAGTGACTCCTTTGCTCCATAATTTCACGGTTTCAAATGCCAGTGTGACATAGCTTTTAAAGAGTTTTAGGCAAAGTGATCTGAACTCAGTTCAACTTCCCTCTTGGATCACCCTTCCCTGCTTTGCTCTATGGATGGCCTCGGTAAACAGTGTCGCCCCTGAATGTCTGAGGGCTTAGTTAATCTGTTCAGTATGGAAAACTGAGGCTCCTGAGGCTGTTCCTTCTTCCTGACAGTGTAACTTCCTCTCTAATATATCTGACAGCAAGCCACCCCATGCTCTCTGTTCACCTTGTCCCTTCTCTCACTTTTTCCGTCTCTCCTCTTTCCTCGTTCTCGTTATCTCACCCCGTTGTCCGTCATCTTCTGCCCTCTAATCCAACTCCTCTGCCACTTTTAATCATCAGCAGTTCAAACAAAGCAATCTTTCCTCTCTTTCCTCACCTACAATTTTTTTTTTTTAAACCTTTTTTCTTGCTTATTTCCTGCCTTCGTGTCATCTCAACTCTACTCCATCTCACTCCCCAACTCTACCAGTCAGGCCAAAGCCTCTTACCCAGTCTGTTAGCAACAGCGAAGCGTTGTGGGATGCTGACAGCATCCTATGATGGAGTGGTGGAGGATGTCGACTGAAGGACATATGATAATAAAGAGTGACTGCGGCTCGCCTGCCGTCTCGTCTCCCGTGACAGGTGTTTGTGAATAGTGCCGCCATCTTGCGTCGGTGAAGTGAGAATAACCTCCAGACGACATAGAGGAGGGTGTCAGCGTGATCTTAAACCTGGTGAAAGGTGTAGAAGAGCACAGAGGAAAGGATGGGACGGAGAAGTGGGACAAGCCCCATCTCTCTAAGGCCCTGCTTGATTGAGTTCTAATTCTCAGTGGTGGAGCGTGCTCAGGAATATAAAACCCCACCGGTGAATCCCGGCCACTGTGTTCGCACCTGTCACTGTGATTTTTGTTTAGAGAAGTGCGCAAAGTAGGAGACACAGTGCAATACCATGCATAATGCAGCAGCCCAGCTCATTTGATTTTCTCTGCCAAAACACACCCTCACCTCATTGAGGAACTCTTGGCAGCACGCTGGGAAGTTGACTGACATGTTTTGACTTGGTGAGAGCCTGATCCTCGTATCTGGACGGATGATTTGTTTTGTCGAGATAATCATGGCGCTTCGAGGCAGCGATAAAGGTGTAATTATAACACCCGGAAGACAATCAGGATTTTTGCCGTCGGAGGGAGCAGAAGTCAAGAAATGTAGCAACAGCGAGCACAAGGGGGACTCGGGTGGAAGTGTTGTCCAAGTTAAGGAGGAAAAAGTGGGGGATCAGACGATGACTGATGGATCTGCAGAATGTGGAAG